TCGAGATTTTTCTTGTAAACTAGTGTTATTGGTAAAGCTGGCACATGCAATATTGCAGTATTGCAGCATGGCTTAGTAGCGGCTATTCAATTGAGGCAAATTGCCAAGAATCATTTTCAGTATTGTTTATGGTCATTAGTGTATTTTGATTGACCTAATGACTTTGAGTAAAAAAATTGAACTGTATAGCCAAAACCGAGAATGAAGAGAGAAGACAATATAGAATCCGTATCTATCTAGTTGTGTAACCTTGGCAACAAATTATTTTTATTTTCTGACAATAGAACTCAACATAATGAAACTTTCGCATATATAACCTGAGATTTGTTATTTCTATGACTTACATATGATATAATATGAAGATAACTTGAGAAAATACCAAAAATGTGTTTTGTTAATATTTCGCAATGACTGACCACGTATTTAGCAGTTTTAAGGGTGTGGCGTTTTAAAAATAGATGTGCAACAATTTAACAAAAAGCTTATATAACTTTATATATCATAACTATAATAACTTTAATAATATTGTAAGTCTTCGAAGGGTTAAATTCTCCCGGATAGTTAGTTACGAACGGTACGTGAAGGTTTTTAAACCTAAAGCGGGCTGTGTCATGTGCAGAAATCTCCGGACGGAGGCTATTCATTTCTGTTAGCCTCCCGCGTTCGTTTTATGTACGTCACGTTCTATGGGATTTTTCAGTTGAACGCGTCCGAATCCATCCGAGGGGCGAGTATGGTTCCGAACGAAAATTCCTCCTCACCCGCCCCCGTAAATGTCCGTACGTTTGTTGAAAATGCTGACGTGTGCGTCATTATCCCCCCTTCCTCTTCAGCTTTTCGCTACGCCTTTTTTTGTCATCCTTTCGCGCTGACTACGATTGTTTGATGAACATCCTATGAATATCGATTCAAATCAATTTCAAATTGTTTGTAAAAGTTTAAATTTGAATTATTTTAACTTTAAATGTATATTTGGTATGTTTAAAGGGCCGTAATGAATCAATGATATTTACGATGTACGCGAAAAGGGTTGGGCTCGGAAGGGGGGAAGGTTTCCGATTCGATCGTTTATATTCGATGGACGCCAACCACCCCACCAACCCCCACGACTGCGCTAATTAAAGGAGAGCGACATCTGGCCGGAAGGGCGTAACGTCCGTTGAATTAGGCGTTACGGTCCTGCACGACCTACTTTTTCATTTCGGACCTGGCTCGGAGGCTGTGCGCGATAATCGATATCTATTTGTTAAGGCCTCCCTCAAATAACGCGTCCCCATAATTTAAACACAAAAAAGAAACTTACTTTTTTAAATTAACTACAAGATCACTTTTATTTTATAGAGCTAATTTTGAAGGTAAAAGTTTTGAAAACAATTTTGTTGGATTTTTTTCATATTTCAAAATTGTGTAGAAATATTCATCCAGCAGTAGTCCTCCTGAAAAGGACTGTGAATAAAACAGTCCGAGGGAGGCAATAAAGGGTGATTTATATAGCGATAAGTAAGGCACGGCGTTCCTAATATTGCACGAACCCCAAGCTCTACTTGAAACGACGCGACGTGGGTGCAGTTCAACTACACAAAATGTGGGGTGGAAATTTTGAATTATTTTCAGTTATTTAATAATTAAAATTTTTTGTTTCAATTCATCTATTTCACTATAATTTTGGTTAAATTCTTAACATCAAGAAACTTTAATATAAGTGTTATACCAACAACAATAAATTACAAACACAAGGGAATTTAAACACGGATTCTCACTCTTGCTTTAAAATTAAATTTGTTAAAGTAAGATCTTCTCCTAAAATTCAACCCACTCATACTAATGTTACATCGTCTCACACTCATTAGTTTTTCTTAAAATTGTTATTTTTGTCTTCGCATTTCTATGTTCACGGTTAACATCCTGGAACACCTGTAATCTGTAATATTTTCCTGGAAGGTAAATTTACAGACGGCGTCGACGACGACGCTCACATTTCCGGTAATTTACTCTAATTAGACTGACTATTCCTTCTGCCTTTCCTCTTCCTTTTTCCCTCATCCTCCCCATTTTCCAACTTCAACCCAGTGGGAGTTTTAATGGTTTGGGGATAGTAAAAGCCAGAAACGGTCTTTGGTATACTTCGAGTTACTCCCTCGGTGTTAATAACTTTTATAAAGTCATACAAAGACGGTGTCGTTTAAACTATTAAGATATCCTTAAAAATATTCATAACATAAAATTATGATTTATTAGTTTCTCAATTTAATTAATCGGTTTATATTATCATGCTTTATAAGAAACCTTACTTGTGTAATGAACCCTTTTGAACAAAATAATGAAAGGGTCAAGTGTAGGGTTAAGTTGGGATAAAATTTCTAATCCTGTATTAAATAACAACGATCGTATGTCTTTTACAATATTCAAAATTTGATGTAATAAAGAATTTAATGAAAAAAATGACGGGAGATTATGTGAAGTGGTAAACTAATAAAACGAAAAACATAAAAAAAGTTGTAGTGCAAAACCAGATCATTGAGCGGGTTCTCCAATTAGATTATCTCGGAATACAAATCAATGCATATAGGTATCTAAAGGGCATCTATCTCTATTGTTAATTGGGACTATGAAATGTGTGATATGTTATTTTGTTGATTAAATTAGCTTCAATTAGTTTATGTAAAACCGGATGACGAGCTCAAACACCATAAATATTGAAACCTATTTACAAATTTCTGTAGCCTTTATAGTTTGCTAGAATTCACAACCAATCACAGATTAAATCAGCATAATTAAATTTAGAATGTATGAGTAAGTCAAAGTCTATTCGTCTTCTTTTTTTCATTTTGCTCTTTCGTAGATTTCGTAGAAAGCCTCTCTTAATTCTTCCGTTGTCCGATTTTCCTGTCAATATTTTGACTCGAAACCCGAGAGCTGTTAGATAACTTCTTAAACCGTTGTATAATTAGGTAATGAAACGATTGTTGCTTCGCTATCTTAAGTACTTTTACGCAATTTAAGAGTTTCTAAAACACGGTTTCAAGCGCAAACGGAAATAAATTCCTTTTGTCAAGTAAGATCAATACCGTATAGATATCGTAATCTTCTTCATTCTTATGACCACCAACCAAAAGAAGTATATCTGCAAGTTTGCATCTTTTTTCGTCCAAATAGGTGCTTTTCACCCTCAAATTCTAACCGACCCAACTCCGAATGGATGCAAATTCCTCCGTCGATTCGAACTGGAATTTAGATAAGAGATAATAATGGTTTCCTTTTTCTCTTCATCCTCCTGTGTCAGCGAAAACATGGTTTTCCAGCATACGTGAAGGGAGATCCGCTCGAGTAAATCACTGAACCCACTTGTTTCCAGACTCCGAAGCAGATGTTCTCTGCGGCGCTGGCGTTGTTGAACGCGAGTCACAAAGAATCGGCGAACGAACGCTTCGACGAATCGCCGCATTCCAATTTTCTAGCGATTGGCACTCAAGAACAATAGCCTCGACGGTTCGATCTCGACATTGCGAACAATGAACCCTCTTTTAAACCGTCCTGTAACTTCAACAATTGACCAGTTTCAATCGATGTATAGTGAGAAATGTGATTGAAAACTTTGCTGGTTAATAAATGTGATAAGAAAATTATGACCCCTTTTTGTAGGCAAAAACGTTAAACAAGAATATTAACACCCATGAGTTCCCCAGGGTAGAATTAGTAACTAATTCCACTCAGAGAGTTCGTGCGCTCGAAATTTTTTGAACCCTAAAGCTTAACTATGAAGGTTTTCCATATGTCATTGATGTCGAATCTAGTAAAGAGACTCTACGAGGTTCGTTAAACCAACGACGAAGAGTTGGAACGTTGCAGGTAACAGCGAAGCATTGATTAAAAATTTTAATCTGGGCTATGTCATCAAGAGAAGCCGGGGCGAAGAGGTTCGCCCTTTTCCAGCATTTATAATTAAAAAAAAATGAGGGATTCTCAGAAATCTATTTCTTTTTAATTATAAAAAAAGAACTTGTAAGAAAATAAAATAAGTTCATTGATTTTTTTTTACTTTAAGTTTAAGAACTATGATTAATTTAGTTAATTTAATAGGAATTTCAGTTCGAGTTAAAAAAATATGTATAAAAGGGTGCGTCAGTTGTCAATATTTTATTTAAATCAATATTCATATCGCGGACTGTGACGCGCATGCACGTGCAGGTAAATATGTTCGCTCAAAAAATAAAACTCTTCGGCGCGAATTGAAAACAAACAAGTTCAGAGCTCGATTTACCTCGCACAGAATACGGAATAAATTATAACTTGAGCGTACAAAAGTTCTATCCCGGTTAAATAATAAAATTAAAAAAAAAGTTTGTATTCGCTCACACAATTTTTCTGTATACATTTTTAAAATACATATTTATTTTAACATTTAGTTGGATATCCCGCGATTTGTTTGTTACACAAATAAATGTTATTTCAAAATTCCAAAAAATTGCATACACAGAGAATGTAAAATGTAATTGCCACAACATAATAGGTAACTGGTAGTGTTGTAATACGCTATTAACACGCTACAAGTTTCGACATTGTGTAATTGTAATTAGATCAACATGTTGATGTAAATTGATTATGCTGTAATGTAATAGTTGAAACGTTTTATTATGAAACGATCAATTTTCAAAAATAAATAGGTAAATTATAAAATAAATTCGATATTTCAAGTACAGTAAAACCTCAATATAACGAACGAATCTCGTTAGAATGGACTTTAGATGTAAGGGATAAAATATTTTCTATGCCAAATGTTTCTGGGATATAGCAGTCCTCTTAGATTCTACCATCTTTGGGTTAAATATAAAGCTACATAGACTAAATACAACAGTGTGGGTGCAATAAAATTATTCATATACCTAATGGACTTTTGGCTATAACAGACAACCCTTCTGTGTATTAATCCATTATATCAAAATTTGACTGTAATTCAATATTATTGAAGATTGAAGACCAAGAAGTTTACCACCACTTACCAATTTAAGTTGTAATTTAATGTTTGATTCATACAATTTTACTTATTTACTGTAGACCACAGTTCGGCTCAGGAATGCTCAGCTTCATATAACTTTCATAAATAACTTCATTGATCCTATTAATTTTAATCTCTATCAGTGAGTGGCTTTGATATCACTTCAATTTATAATATGAATGAAATAGGCTCTAAATAGCTTCTGTCATGAAACCATAAATTTATTTGATATTGTAAAATAGGAACAGAAATACCAAACATAACCTAAAACCAATAATCGGAATTAAAAGAGGAATCTTCAGGTTTATATCAATTCTTTCGTCAGTTAATTTAACCTACAATTGAATTGGATAAAGTATTCCATGAATCTTGAATGAGAATTTGTTGAGCCATTCGAATTCACTAGTACTCCGATCTTGATACCAGAATCCAGAAACATATCAAAGTAACCTACAGAAAATAAGCTAGCTAAGTTACAATTTACAAAACGTAATATAACATTACTTACAAGATGAATTTACATCATTACATTTACATTATTGTTTTTTTTCTTTTAAAATAAGAGTTGTTAAGTAGTTTAGTTACAAACCTTAGTGTTTTTCTTATATTTCAAAAGATGGCACTACCAAAGCGAAGCAATCTTTTTGCAACGGTAATTGACAATTATTTCTAAATAAGTTTATAAACCAAATAGCTCAAAAGTTAGTTGCAGGACCATATAATAACGAATATTGCTTTTCAAGTAATCCAAGAAAAGAAATTGAAGATATCTTTAAATCAGATGAGTCTTTGAGTAGTGGTTATGGTTTGAAACAGGATTGCAAGTGGTGGTACAAATGTGATACATTTTCTAATAATTGGTACGACATACATGGATTTGGTACATTTTTATTACTGATTAAGTTATCGATTTTGTAGTTTTTATACTCAGAAATACAATAGTTATGTTTTATTGTACAAAAGAAAATGAGTTGGTAGCATTGCGCCAGCTTCATTTTCCTTCATCTTGTAGTTCATGACATGTTCGAACTTGCTCAAGTTTGAAATGTGACAGCAGTGAAACGTGAAACTTCAGGATCTGAGATAAATCTGAGGAAAGTAGGAATATAAACAATTATGGTAACAATACAACCTCATATAATAATAACCGACATGAAAAATGTTGCTTCAATTGGGTCAAATGTGAAATATGGAAATATAAACATCTCAAAAAAAAATATAGCAGGTACGGACCAAAGAGGAAAATATAATAATTATTAATACATTTATTTTCCACCTCTTCAGGTTTCACAACTTTTGAAATAATAACTTGAAAAAACAATTGTTATATCTTTTTATATTAAGTTGAGTAAGACTGCAAAGGCTGGGATGAAAAGGTGGACAAGTTGGCCAAAGAGGCAGCGAAAACAATAAATAATAATAAGATTGCAAAGACCAAACTACAAGACAAGTCATTATTAAGACCATAAAGATGAAGTAAGATATGAATTAAAGAAGATCTATGAAAACTATGACTGGGTTAAATAAAATTTGAAATGTTTGGTTTTAAAACCGGATGATAGCCATTTAAATCACAATTGAAAATTTTTAATAAATTTAAATTAATTTGGATATTAATAATAAATTTTATGAAGTGAGTAACGAAATACTGGGATAGTGAAGTATATCACAGTAAACAATCCTCAATTATTGTTTTATATGTACCAGGAGGTTATATTCGCGCGATTATCCACCCGGATCTATACAAAATACAAACACTGATTGCGCACAATCGCCTCCAAATTGCGTGTACACGCGTGTTTTAATTAATTTTAACGTCATCGACAATTTTCGGAGTAGGATTATTTGGTTGAGGTAATTTATCATTTCCACATTAAAAATATATTCATTAATAATAATTATTCGAATAATGTATGACGTATAATGAATACAAATTTAACCCCTTGGCAGTTAGATAACCAATCAAACTTGATACACTTCGAAAAAGAATTACTTAAATAAAAATAAATTAACTTCACAATAATTGTAAATTTAATTCATGCAATAATAACGTGGGAATTACAAATCAAAATTATAATAATAATTTCCATAATATCGGCATTTATTTTAGTTGGAACATAAATTTATATCTCCTTGTGCAATAAATAATCTGTAAAGAGTAAATAAAAGAGGGAGATTTACAACCTTAATTTATTAGGGTGTTTTAATGGTTAACTCGACGTGTTTAAGACAAACGTCCAGTGGGCGAAAACCCGAGACTACAACATTTAATCAGGCCACTCGAACCGACATCTCCGAAATAAAAAGGAATTTTAGCTAGTAGTAAATTTGTTTTCGTGACTAGAAGGAAGTTATTACCCCACCCTGTTCAAACTTATCGCATAAATCTTAAAAAGCAACAGTTTGGTTCGTGACATTCAATTGAAACATTATTCCTCAATTTTATGTTTTATACCTTTCCCCTTACTACTAATGAATTTATTAAAAATGCTTAAAGTTTTAATACCCTCGAGATTAACTTTAGACAAAGATTTCTCGAAGTTAGCAAACTACAATTGTAGATACAATCTCAGCGATTCCACTGAGACCCGTAACAGCTAAATTCTTGAATAAATAAAGGTTTCTCACAAATGCAACGAGCGTGTTTCAAAACTGGCCGTTGACCTGTACAACGTTTACAATATTGTTATTAAATTTACGTCAATGTTACGAAATATGTCGATTTCAATGCTAAAATCTAGAAAACTCACTTCCGGTAGCCGTCAGTGGCACGTAAAGCTTTTAACCGAATTGATCCTCTGCTACTTTTTTTTTGCTATTCCCTTTCCATAAAACTCCCCTTCAACAGAAATGCATGAAACAATGAGCGCCAACGTTGCGACTCCTTTCATTTCCTACGGGACTTTTCTCTTTCCCAGCGAGATTAATTAAAAAAAGAGAGGAATTCACAAGCCAGTCATTACATTTTCATCAACCAGATTTAGTATTAAATAGTAATATATTTGGTTGTATGTAATTGGTTTTGGTGAGTTTATGTAGAGGAAGTAGAGTCAGAGTTGTTGACAAACCTGTCTGAAGATGCACGGCTAAATCCGAAACTTTCTAGTTTAGCCGAAATGTTTCTAGTTCTAGGTTTAGTGTTTGTTCTAGTTTTCGTTCAATAAAAATCCACAGCAATTCTGAATAACAATTAAAACTAGAACTAACACTAGATTTAGAACTAGAAACATTCTGGTTTAGCCGTGCGTCTGGGCTAAACCCAAAACTTTCTTGTTCTGTTTAGTTCTCAATATAAACTAGAACTAGAAACATTCGTGTTTAGCCGCACGTGTCTTAAAACGGCTAGTTCAAGTTTTAGTTCAATAAATACAACGCTGAATAACAACTGAAAGTAGCTGTCTTAGGAGACGCACGGCTAAGCCCAAATGTTTCTAGGTTTAGTGTTAGTTGTAGTGCTAGTACTGGTGTTAATTCCAATTATTGTTGATTCTAATAATATAAATTGGAATTTTTAATTTGATTTGAAATTGCAGTAGTTACAATAGTGATGCTTATTTATTGCATACTTATTTCCAAATTCTCTCAATCTTAGTATCTTTCTTTTCTATGTGATATTATTGATATTTAAGACAATACATCGATACCTATAAAACTAATAATTAACGAAATATTTTTTACCTTGAAAGGCAAGGAAAAGAAGGAGAAAAATAATAAACTAGAATCCCTGGAGATGTCGTTCCGTCTACAGTCTACACAACCGTAAACAGAAATTACGACGTCCTTTGTGTCCGTTTGTCAGCAATGAATGAACGGACCGAGTCGTGAAAGCCAGCGTCGACGTCGCCGTAGACTCACCTGAGTCGCGACGCCCGTTAAAATGTTCGTTTTCAAAACTAGAAAGAGAAAAAACGATATCAAGAAAAAGAAAAAGAAGAGTGCATAATTCAGCTAGAAAGGGTTGAAGGGCGAGTCCGCTTCTCTTTCTGTCAAAAAAAAAGGGGAATAAAAAAGGGGCAAAAGAAAGAACATGGTGGCATATTTTATGTAAAAAGATAACGTGAAATATCGATGCTGACCGACGGTTGCCACCATCAGCATATTGCTTTTGGGATACCTATCAGGTAGATCTATTTGGAGAGGTGAAAATTTCAATATACCGGTTGAAACCGTGTCTACTCGTCCGCAATTAAAATCCTCAATGGTAGCAGTTTTTTTGTTTAGTTTTTTTTTATGCTGCATTCCCAACTCTTTTTTGTGGGTGTTCTTTTTTAGTTGTTTCATCATTTTCGGTGTTTATCTATCATTTTTTTTTATTGTGTTCAATTCGAAACGAGTGCATGTTTAAAACTCGTGCTTACAAAATATTATCTGCCCAAACTTTGTTGTATCACCAAAGATTTATTTACATATGCCACTTGAAACTCGCTACTACTGTCTTGTGAGGGAAGTTCGCGAACTTTGGGAACATTCATCTGTTCCCAATGGTGCCACACTGCATATAAATCTCTAAATAAATAAAGCGTCTGGACTAGAACTGCGCCCTGAGGACTACCACATGTCAGTAATCCTCCTAGATATGTGCGTTATACAATTGCCTCAATAAAGCAAACATGAAATTACTATTTACTATTAAATCTAAGTCATAAAATTTTTAAATTTCTAATTTTTTTTGTGTCATTACAGGGTTGACGTCGGCTTTTGATTCTCATCTACGTGGACCCGCGTTCGTTATGGAACCTCCAACACGTTTGGAGTTTTCAAACTCAAGCGGTGGTTGGTTGGACTGTTCAGCTTCGGGGAGTCCCCAACCATCGATCGATTGGCTTTCGGTAGACGGGACGTCCGTTGGAGACGTTTCCGGTATCCGACGTGTTCTACGAAACGGAACCCTCGTTCTGCTACCATTCGCTGCTGCAGCCTATCGTCAAGATATCCATAGCACCGTCTATCGATGTGTTGCTTCTAATAGTGTCGGCAGAATCATTAGCAGAGATGTACAAGTTAGAGCAGGTAACTATAAAGCTATAGGTATAAATAAGTTATAAATATACAGAAAAATATGTTAGCTTGAAATACGTTGGGGGATGAAATTTTATTTTAAGATGCTTCCTCAACATTTCCTTTCTATTTATGAAAATATAAATCGTCGCCGTCTAGAAGCAAATCGGAAAATAATTGAGGAAAAAAGAAAAGGGGCCGTCGATTTTCTCGTTGGATCGGAGCCAGCGCAATCGCAAACGTTAGCGTCGTTGACTGAGCGGTCAATTTCCTCACGACGCAAATAGTTCCTACAAGGAAAGTGTTTTATCTTCGCCGTGACCAGCATCAATTCTTGTTACGATAACCGTCACTACACACCCATCTGTCCTATAAGTGATATATTAGTTCCTAAGGGGCCGATATATTAACTCCCATAATCAGACGACATAACCAATTTGTTCTCAAACGTTTTTGTAACTTGTCATCATGAATTTCTTATTTTCTTTTCTTTTTAGTTGTTACTCAACCGTTTAAGATTGATGTTGAAGTTTTGGGGGCGGCAAGAGGTTGTACGGCGGTTTTAAAATGCGTGGTCCCTTCATTCGTTAAAGACTTGGTACGAATAATTTCATGGGTACAAGAACCATCACTTTACATTTACCCATCTCTACAAGGAGGTAAGTAGCTTAATTTATATTTCACTAAAAAGTTAATTATTTTTGTTGACGTCGATAAAAAATTTAATCTATTCCATCTAAAAGCTTCTTTTATAAAAAAAATAGGTAACGTAAGCTTTTTTATATGAGACTCTTTTGTTCCAAGATCCTTTCGATAAATCTTGGTTACAGAAACTCCCCTAAGAAAATTCATTTATCGCTCGTTTTCGTTTAGATGAAGTTTCATCGACCCGGTTAATTGTACGTGAGTACGTGTAGCTTACAAGCACGGACTACACTCTGAAAAGGGGCGTAAGTCTTTTAAATTGGCCCATACGTTTCGTTTTAGTTGTCCGTTCTGTTGGAAACGACTCTTTGATAAGGGCTTTTGAACAGCTTCCAAACTTAACATCACATAGCGTAAAACAAACTTTTAAATCACGTGTAATTTTAGAGAATTTTTATTTGAGCGAATCTAACAAACATCTTTGATTAATTCGATGATTGAATAGGGTTCATTTTCCCGATGGGGTGTATACATCCCTTTTCGGGTCGGATCTTATTAAGTTTTATTTCGGTGTCGGCATCAGAAGGTTTTCACGAAAACTGATTGAAGAGTTCTCGGTACCTTCTTTGTCACGCTACCGGATTCCGGTCACGCGATCTTTTCAAAAACGTCTGCCAGTTTTTCATTCATATGTTTCAGGATGTCTTATACTGAATTCACTGTATTGTGTATTTTTTGATAAAAAGCTTCATTTACGAGGGCTTGTTCTTATAAATGGATCATCACTTTTACAAGAGAACTTTTTTTAAATTTTCTTTTTGTAATAACAACTACCCTTTTTGCGTTTGGGTTTCAAGTTGCTAAAATGTTTGTAGGATTTCACGGTCTACTATTTGACGTTTCGAAAAAATCTTGATTCTAAAATTTAAAACAAAAAGTTGTTTATGAATTGTAAAATGAATAATTTGAGAATTTATAAGAAATTTGATTGATGTTTATTTAATTTTCAGATGGAAAATTTCACCAATTACCCTCAGGAGAACTACTCATTCACAATTTGGAATTCAGCGATCAATTTCCGGCCTACAGATGCAGGACTATGCACAGACTGAGTCGACAAGTTGTCGTTAGTAACGCGGCCAACGTTCGGATTACAGGTAAATTAATAAGTTCATTTTCTCTTAATTTGTTTCCAGATTACTAGAAACGTAGTATAAATGTAAAATTACTGCTGCTTTTCATGGAATTTGAGTTGTTTATTTTCATCTGTGTTATTATATCCAATCCAACCCCATTCATAATTAAAGTGGATGCTTCTGCTCGATTAACATTTAGCGTAACATTCACTTTACGGTTAAATAACGCAATGAATTAATGAATGTTGTTGGGCAGAACGCTTTTATATTTTAGGTTTTGCATCGACGTTGGTTGAAGCATGTTGCAATCTTTTTCATCTAGCACGAGGTTAAAGGACCACCCCATAAAAACAGAAATCACAAAAATCGCGATACCAACTTACTACGAGGATGTCGAAGTCTTCTAAATATAGACACAATCACTTCCATAACGGTACAAGACCTCATATAGCAAACTTAAAGTAGTAACTGTAGACGAAGATGGGAAAAATGAAAAAAAAGATGGGGAGAACGCCCATTATGCTCTCCTAACCCTTCTCCACGTGTGTTTGCCTTTATACCAAAAGTAACTGGAACATTATGTGGTAAGGGATATTTTAAGTGCAGTGAAAAAATAGGTGACTCTAATACAAATAAGCCTACCCCATGTGACCTATGATAGATTGCACTGTTGATCATCACTCTTCTTATTTCCACAGGAATGAAATACTTGGAATTGCTAACTGTTACCTCCACACTTACTCTTCTTTGATTGAGTGATCCCATTACAAGTTTTTGGGGTTCAAGTTAATTTACATAATCTCGATAATTTGGGCGTTTTTTACATCCAGTATTATGTTTAGCCAAAACTATCTTCATGATGGCTTACAATACTCATCTGATTCCGAACTAACCTGAATTGCATATAAATTCGCGCAATTTAGAAAGTTTCAGAATGATCTTTGCTTGTATACAAATATAATACTCTTGTTAATATTTGAGAAATGAATAGGTTATAAAAAAAATCACTGATTGTTTTGCGTTACATTTGCAAAGTTCTGCAACGGAAATTTGATTATTGATTGGTTCAACTAAATCCCCTAATTACAATTAATTTTGACTAAGAGGTTAATTAATACTATATGAAGCATGGCGTAACACTAGTTCAATACGAATGTATCATATTTCTAATCGATACCCCAACAATAAGTACATTGTGGTAAGTAAATATTTGTAGTTAAAATAATTAGGAATAAACCAATAATAATAATTATCATATAAAACGATGTTTTTTAATTAATTTTACTTCATCACCAATTCTTTTTCTCAAAAACAAAATCTCTTCTCTTTCATCCCCTTTTTGTCGCGGAGATTGTAACTAAAGGTTTATCTTCCTCTTTTCCTCTTACGTTCTAGCTCTCACGTGTACGGACGACGACGACTTCACGTTGCAGTCGTCTCGTTTTTGCTCTCTACTCCATAGGGGGCCCACTTTTACCCTCGCGGCGAGCTCTCGTATCAATATTTCATAACCGCACTTCCCCCCGTTACACACACATACATACATAGAGGGAGGACCACACGGTTTGCTACGGAGTGGTCCCATTCAAGTTTAGATGCTTCATCTGTGGAGTGTTCGTCCTTAGGTTGGGAGGAGTAAAGGAACACTTCAATCGCTTCCCACCCCAACCGTTACCGCTACTATGCAATGTGAGCCCCCTTATTTACAAACGTCTCTTCGATTTTTGTTTGTTTTAAATTTAAGAAAAAAAGTTTAAATCTTAGCTTTTTTTATTATTGTTAAAGAAAAAAATTTATAACGTCGTCTTCTTCTTGGTAAACTTCGTTGTTGAACGTTATTAATCGAATCAACATTATTAATAAGAAAATGTAAATGATTTTTCCGATTTCATCCATTCCATTTTGTTGGATTTCTTTATTTCTTGGTTTCATTCGTCCCCTTTTTATATTTGATGACACATTATTGACAAATTATTGACGTGGTTTAAAAAGTACTGTTGATAGATTTCGGTGGGGAACTTTATAACCCGGAAACCTAACCGAATTTAAACGTTTCCCATTTGTCAATGTGCTGGGGCCGTCGCTTCGTACCAAATATTTACCATAAACGTCGATTACGTTCCGTACATTAGCGGCCGCAGACAAATTTGTGGTGGCGGATGCACCACGATTGTGTCGATCCCATAATGGGGAGACGACCGTTATTGCTTTATTCTTCCAATCAACGTTTATTGTCGTTCAAATCGAACAATGAATGTTCGATCGAAACGCCATTGATGATTTACGTCATCGCACTATTTCAAAATGAAATTTCCTAAATTATCATTAATTGTAATAACTCTTTGCTATTTCTATTTATTTTAAACCCAACCTTCATTTTGTTCCATAAAATAATTTAGAAACTAAAACATTGGAATTGATACAAAATTAAACTTGAACTTATCAGGAAATTAAATCTTAAAATCCGTGCAAACTGTAATTAACTTGAACTGTCAACGGCAGTCGTTGTAATTTTTGTAACATCTGCCGCACGCGTTGACAGTAGCTACCCTTTTCACTATTTTCCTTTTTATTTTTTAGATTTTTTTGTTGACGCTAGATTTGTGGGGTGGAAAATCCCGCTGGAACAGCCACAAATGAAAAACGGGCGCGTGACGAGAACATACACTTTTAATTTGCGGGTGGGGATCATTAGCGTGCCGCCGTCTCCCTGCGAATTCTACGGGCAATATTTTTCACGTACAAATTTCGATCCACAAAAAGAAATCCCCTTCAGAAATCGCACATCAGAAGAAAAGGGAAAAATAATAATGATGATAAAACCGGAAAAAGAAATGAAAGGGCGGATTTTTTTTCAGTTGGATTGGTGTGAAAAAGGGTGGGACGTAAAAATGTGTGTCCCGAATCCGTTTAGGTTCACCCTAAAAGATACACCGAGATAGAAGGTGATTGAAAAGAGATGGATGAACGTGATGGATATACCCAATATTTATTTTAGCCTCGTTATTTTCACAAAATCGGATTCTAACAAGTGTTAGGAAAATCGGGAAGTTAAAGCAAATATTTTTATTTGAGATTAAATAATTTAATTTTAATTGCGTTTCAAGGCTTCTTCATTGCGGGTAGAAGCAACTGGAGCTTATCTCATTGTTACACTGCATTAACATAATGCTTACCGTTATTTTTTACCCTTTTTGAATGTTATCAATAAGAATTATTCCACGTACGCCCCACGGCTGTCAGTCTAAGGCTTTGCACAACACATCATCTTCATGCCATCTACAAGCATGAAGGTTGAGTCCTCTGAATTGTAATTGTTACCTTAGGTAGTTGTTAATCTCCAATTTTAACCAACTAATTAAAAAAAAATTTAACCAGGTGATATCTACACCTAATGATATCTAAGATGATATCTTTTCTAAACAATGTAGAAATTCCGAGCTGTAGCTCAGAAAAAGATTTCTGCCCCTGTGTCAGTCCGTCCGTTAGAACCATCCGTGAAGGTTAAGAGTGTTGTTTCTTCTAAAAATGAGTTTTGCCTACGTATAGTCAGTTACAGACTCTGTAAAGATATTCTTTCCACTGCCTCCGTCCAGAGTAACATAACTTCTGCCGGCATCCTTGAAAAATCTGCACTCGTAACATAATAATTAACACCATCTCTTGCTCAGCATGTTTTCCATCGCTATCAATGGAAGCAATTATATAGGATTGTAAAATACACAAACGCAAGATTCTGCTTTCTGATTAATCGCAACAATTAGGTTTTAAACCAGCACACTGATACGTGCACGCCGATAAGTGATATCGATACACAAAACGTTTTGGCCGGCAAAAAGTTGTAGTCCACTCCAAATTATCTCGAAAGCAGAACATGATGAAAAGGCTACTTCTGTGATTACTATGATTCTCATTCGAACAATTCAGCTCACATTAAAGTGAAACAAGGAGACCATCAAGGATTGCAGTTTCTCCTTGGAATATCAAAGTTATCCTCAGCATGAGGATATTTCAGAATGATCCGTTAGAAAGAGTACTAAACTGCAATATCTACTTTAAAGGCAATTCAGAGCTACACGTGTAAATCCGTAATCTTGTCAAAGAATGTACCGGCAACCTGAGAAAACTCGCCAGGGGCAATGAAGTTACTTTATGGTGGGTGTCAGGTTACAAAGACATTGAGGGCCATGAAAAGGGGGCCAAAGAGGCAGCGAGGACGCTCTTTATTGTACTCCAAGCTGGCTGTGCTGCACTACAAAAGTAACCTTGCGATGGAAAGAACTTCCAGGACACCGACAGGCGAAAAGTATGATAACTCCGTTACAAAAGAAAGCCAAAGAGGTTTGATACCTCAGCAAAGGGTCGCTGTCAGGTTTCCTGACCTAGATTTTCCTTAAACCGTTCGAGGGCTTAAGTTACAATACGAGAGGGGCCACTCCTCCAGCCTAGCAGTAATAATAATAATAAGTCTGTGTCAAGTTGTCTTCATAAAATTGATATATTCTTGCATCCACTGTAATGGAGTTGGGATGTTTGTATACATGAGTTGTACACTAATGTATTCATGATTAAGTGTCTTACTGGATGATTTTGAATTAGATTCTAGTGGTTACTTTTCTTCAATGGAGGTTAATTAACATTATATTTACACAATTTTTAAATTTCCTTTTGTCTCTTTTTCCTTCGATACAAAAGTAAACGACCCTTGAAATTGTCTGTCACGGTACTTAATGCTAAATTCCCATTTCGCATCGTCATAAAAGATGGGGAAGGGAGATTAATGATTAATGCGAGAGTAGAATAGGGCCGTTAAACTGTGTGTACATAAAACGAGACCTCGTTCAAATAGAGCCCTATTTTACCCTCAAAAAACGAGGATTTTTAAATATTCCTTTTTGCTATATCTTTGTTTATTGTCATTTTTTCCTATACACTTTTTTTGTTTCTTCTTAGATTTCATTTTTTTGATGTATTTTTCTTTGTAGAGCACCGAGGAATTGTTTCACCGGTAGTCGTTGAGAATTCAGGAACAGTAACAGTTGCCCAGGACGAAGGAGCAGCTTTAATATGTATATCTCAAGGATGTCCGACTCCGGAATACAGGTAAAACGTTTTCCTTACTCTTTCTACTTTAAAAAGTCGCCTTCTTTACCCCGAAACATGCGCCGGTTGTTCTACATCCGCCCAACAACTTTTCTCTTTTTTATACTCCTTCCGTTTTATTTCATCCTTCTCTCAAGGAATTATCTTGTGCATGTTTTATCATTTCCAAGCGCGTGTTTCCTCCACGTTTTCATTCTTTCGAATCGGAAACAACACGTCTTTGCCAAATTGGAATGTCGTCGTCGCATTTACTACTTTCGCGAGGTAAAAAATAAATAAACCGAATGTAAAACGAGTTTAACATGAATGTAAAATAGATATAAAAACGAATTTCCACGTTCTATTTCGCGTATCGTTGTCGGGGAAAATAAACCGAATATTGACCGCGCTCGATAAAAATAAACAATGTTCGACTTCGAAATTTTCATTGTCAACGCAATTCGAAATTGTAATTGTTATTTTCGACGACTAAACAGAAAATGGGTCGTTTAACATTTATTTGTGCCGAAATAAGCTAAAACGGATCAAAGTTTTTCAACGTGTTCTTATAGTTCTCCTTCAAATCCTAAAATTTATATTCTGGAATCAATAACCGTTCGGTGAAGTTAATAACAAAAATAAACTTTACCAGAGTTATGAATAAAAGTTGGAAAGCGAGTTTTCTCTGATCGACTCCAGCAAATCTGGTCTAAAAAGTTTTCTTGCTACTTGTTCGTCGTCGTCGATGGCGGCGCCACCTTTTCCGTCGGAAATCTCGTTTCGAAGAGAACTACTTGGCAATTGGCCATCGTTAACCTTAAATATATCCGGTCAATCTCAACACATCAAATTAAATGACTATCTATATATTCTTCATTTAAACTTGTTAATTAAAAAAGCATTTGTGATTTAATTTTTTCTTTTTTTAATACTTAGATGGTATTCACAAAAAAATGGTGAACAATCGTTAATAATCCCAGGACCTAGAATACGTCAATTAGGTCCAGTTTTAGCAATAGAAGCCGTTACATCGGAAGACGGAGGAATCTACCGTTGTATGTCATCGAACGCCGGTGGCGAAGCGAGTGCCGATTTACGTTTGATGGTTTCAACTCCGCTTCATGTCGAAATTACACCGCCTATGCTCAGTGTCCATATGGGCGGAAGCGCCGAATTTAAATGTTCAGTTTCCGCCCAAAACGGCGGACCTCATTTGGTGACTTGGTACAAAGATGGGCGTCAACTTCCCAGTACTGGACGAGGCACCAGCGAAGCACTCATCATAAATAATGTTGGAAGGGAAGATCGTGGAATGTATCAATGCGTTGTTAGAAGAACTGAAGGCGACACTGCTCAAGCTGCTGCCGAATTACAATTAGGAGGTAAAAAAAGTCCTAATTTCCCATTAAATTTAGGTTAAAAGCAATAAATTTCTTTTGATGTATATAAAGTAATTTAAAAGTAGATATAAATCTTCTTAACTTCCTTTTATATTCATTCCTTTTAATTTTTATTACATTTTCCGTCAGTTTCAGTAAGTTTAACAAAGTTTACTGGCGGTTTGAGAACGAAGATAGTTGTGTTCCCGGTTGATATTACAGCTAATTCGTCTTATCTAATCGAGGGGATGGCGGTACTTGCAAGAGTTCGGCGCCTAATTGTATTCCTACCGTAACTAAATACTGTCGGAAGATATGGTCTCAAAGACATCCTGTCCTTCTCTCCTCGGAACTGGAAATCCTTTGCGTTGATTGTGATAACAAACCAGAACGACGCGACGAGACGCGCTTCGAAACGTTTTGAAACATTTTGTGTTGGAATAATATGAAATTATTCTTGAATAATGAATATTTTTAAAATTCTCGAAATTAAAATGGATGATGGTTCTACTGGGAAAAAAGTAAAATGGAGAAATTTAATTTCAGGTGCACATCAAGTTGTCAATTATATGCGTGTTACTCGCCCCACGAGAAGTCTCCGCGAACGAAACAAAGTTATCTCCGGGTGGTTACCCGCACAACACCCCTATATTATTATATTACGACCTTTGTTTCATATCTCTCTTCTCATTTCTACGTATTTTATCCCATTTCTTTTTACTTAAAACTGTAACTAAATTTTGAGACATCAAACAGAATTTTAAGTGTTCTATACGGACGATTTTTGAGTTTAAAAATGGAGGATGCGAACATTTGCATGGAAGGACAAAGGGTGTCAGATCGCAAAGCGGCGGAATTTAATATGGGGCTCTTTCTCTGTGTTGCAGATGCGCCGCCCGTGTTAATATATAGTTTTATCGAGCAGACGCTCCAACCGGGACCTGCTGTGTCATTAAAATGCAGCGCTACTGGTAATCCGACCCCGCAGATATCCTGGACGTTGGACGGGTTTCCATTACCGAGCCATGGAAGGTGAGTGCAAAACAAGAGTAAACTTTAAAGGTTTTTTTAGGAGGGCTAAAACTTTAATCTTACACAAACTACAAATTTTCAAAATAAATTTTTTTTGTTGTTTCTTCAAAACTAAACGTGAACTGTAACAAAAGATAATACGGATCTCGTTAGGATGGATGTAACGGACAAAATATGTTTCTCAAGTTACTCTATTCCATGTTCATAGATAAACTGGAGATATTCCCCGAGTTGTTTATATCATGTATAAATTAAGGACTGTAGTTCTAGTTTTAATTGTTATTCAGCATTAGATTGTTATATATTTAAAATTAGAACTAAAACGTGCGTCTTTTAAGACGGCTAAACCCAAATGTTCCTAGTTCTAAACTGCTAATTTCAATAAAAATGAATAGTTATAGACTATGCAGTCCAGTTCATTATCGAAGAAAGTAATGATCAACTACATTGATAATAAAAATTTACATTTAATAACAAAGACGATTTAAGTAATAAACTAAAAATATAGTATAATAGATTTGTTAAAAAAAATTTTAAAAGATATATATTTTTTTAAAGATTTAACAGTCCGAACAGAAACTTAAATTTGTTACTCGAACCCTTTGTAATCAAGAATATTAAAGTTTGTTAAAAAGTTTTTACCGCTTCGCATCGTAAAATGTTGCGGTTCAATATCTTTCTTTTGTAAACCTCGACCGAGTGGAAGCTTCGTTCCGAGTACATAAAGCTCGGTAAATAAAGTTTGCCCCAGAAAATTTCCGCACATTTCGTTCACTGATAACGCCGCATACAGAGGAAAACTGATGCCGTTGCTTATACAAAACGACGAGACTTTCGGTTTTCCCCTTTGAATAACGACTAACAACTTTTGTCTCTCTCCCTCTCATTTTCGAAGTCAATATAAAAGTTTTCAATTAATTATTCAATCAAAAACTTTCTCACGAAAATGTTTCCCCGATACGGCCCTGACTTGGTACAAACCGTGAGGAACGAAATCTCTTTGTAAGTATCGACATTCTTGACATTGAGGGGGTTGGGACACAATGGCAGTCCTAACGGCGGTAATAACGCTCCCTTTGAGGGGAATGGTGAGGGCGGTGAGTGAAGAGAAGGAACGTTGCGATTAGTTCGTCCACGTCTCCGCGCCATTACTTAGACTAATTGGTGTGAGGGGGGCTTGAAAACGTAAAATTAATACGTTTCAGGTTATAATCCTTACAAAGGTCACTATTTAACCGAGATTCTATTAGTGAAATTAAAATTATTTTCTAGATGGTGTAGATTTTTCAGAACTTTATTAGATTTAAGATAAAAATAGATTTTGAAAATGGAAAGTAAAAGGCTAAAATAAAAGGTAAAAAAACAGCGACCTCTATCGAGGGTACCTTAGTAGACATCGTTTCAGCAGCAAGATTTCTCCTTCGCTTTTCCACTCTTAACATAATAAGCGCAATTTCACGCTCGCCTCCGTCTGAAACAGCCGCTCCATTATGTTCTCTACATGCTTTTTCCCCCGACTTCGTTCCATCGCGTTCTTTACTTCTTCGATTTTTACACAGAACCGTATTACAACTTCTTTTTATTTTTAGTTTAAGTACTTAAACATAGAAGCTTCTCTAAAAGAAACATACACGAATATTGCAAATAGGTACCGTTATTTACAAAGTTGTGTTTATGTTATCTTGTATTATCTTGTCCTAACACTGAAGAAGAACTAAAACTAGAATTAACACTAACATTAGAACTAACACCACACCTCAACTAGAAACATTCGGGTTTAGCCGTGCGTCTCTCAAGACGGCTAAAGTATTCTTTTGAAATGTAAGGTTAGTTTTGTTTACAAACATTAATTAAACCGTGAAGTTTTCTGAAGTAATTAGTAATGGCAATTATAGCATGAAGTATTCTTTTGAAATGTCAATTAAACCGTGAAGGAATGTTATGTAAGGTTAGTTTTGTTTACAAACATTAATTAAACCGTGAAGTTTTCTGTAGTAATTAGTAATGGCAATTATAGCATGAAGTATTCTTTTGAAATGTCAATTAAACCGTGAAGGAATGTTATGTAAGGTTAGTTTTGTTTACAAACATTAATTAAACCGTGAAGTTTTCTGTAGTAATTAGTAATGGCAATTATAGCATGAAGTATTCTTTTGAAATGTCAATTAAACCGTGAAGGAATGTTATGTAAGGTTAGTTTTGTTTACAAACATTAATTAAACCGTGAAGTTTTCTGTAGTAATTAGTAATGGCAATTATAGCATGAAGTATTCTTTTGAAATGTCAATTAAACCGTGAAGGAATGTTATGTAAGGTTAGTTTTGTTTACAAACATNCGCTAGTGTGAAATCATATTTCATAAGTGTGAAATCATACTGTAAAAGGTATAGTTTTAGGTCGTTTTAACGAGGTCCGTTGTATCGAGGTTTTACTATATTAACAACACGAATTTTAAATTCGCTTTGAACTCAACGTTAACATCAAAACCCACAATATTACCGAAAAAAAGGGTACTTTCATTATGTCTGTTCAAAATTGCATTGGCACTCTGATTGCCAATTTCGACACCCAACATTGCGTTCTTTAATGTTTAAATAATTACTGGCTTAAAACGGAAAAGTCTCGCTTTGGCTTTGTATTAAAAACTGTTAACTCGCACCACCTCAGTTGCAACTAATCTTAGCTACAATCTCATTCCATCACCAATATTTAATCGTGTATACACAAAATCTTTTAATTGTAATAAATTCCACTCTAACTTTAAAATTTTTTAATTACCTTTTTTTTTCAAAAAAATATGTAATCGAGTTCAGAAAACGATTTAAAGGAGATCTTACGGGGCTTAAAGTCGGTTTACACTGCGACGCTTATCTAAAACGTTACGACCGGAGTGAAGTTGGCCGATTTGGCGGACCGAGCGTAAAACTTTTGTTTTTCACGGGGGCCTAAACTTACTCCAACTTCGTCGACCAAAACCTAAAGCGTTCGCGGTCTAGTTACTTCCATCTAAGTTTGAGAACTTCGACACAGATATGAAATATATTTACTAACAAAAAATTGCTTCAAGTCCATTTTTTTGCGTGTCCCACCTGGTTACTCTCCATTGAACCACTAACGACTTTATTGAAGGTGAATTAATAAGAAGCTTTTTGCGTACTTTCGATAATCTTCTTCTTCGGCGGGAAAGCTTTTCAATACCTGTCACCTGCGTTTTATGGTAGGTACAGGATAACGTTGGGGATCTTATATCTGGTGCTTTCTAAAGGAAGGATGCGAAACGACGAGGTTTTCTTTTGGTGTGGGATCCTTTCACCTAGCTTGATGTCTTTTTTATGGCTGGTTTATTGGGTTTTAAAATAGTCATTTAGAGGAAGGTTCTTTGAATAGAATATGGCCTTAAAAGATCAACGAGTTGATTATCTTGAAAATATTTTTAACCTACATATTACTTTTTTCAGATTCGTTATTGGTCAATACGTCACTGTACATGGAGACGTTATAAGTCATGTAAATATAAGCCACGTAATGGTAGAAGATGGTGGAGAATATACTTGTACGGCTGAAAATCGTGCGGGAAAAACATCCCATTCCGCGAGATTGAATATATACGGTAAGTAAACAAAAAATAAAATCGATTTAATCCCCATTAAACCTAGCCTTACTTTTTGAAACAAATACGAACATCCCATCAAAATGGATTTTCCTTTAATCATCCTAATTAAGCTTGTGTATTTCGAATGAATGGCACAAGCCTTCGATGCCCCGAAACCAAATCCAATTAGTGCCACGAAATCCAGCATTTCGAACAACTTCTTCGAATTTCCCCACGCACAACAAACAATCGATCATAATAAATATACAACCTAAATTTCCCAACGGAACGAGATTCACCGCCCCCTTAACACGGTCGTCGTATTTATTCCCACAGGAATGCCCTACATCCGGTTGATCCCGAAGGTGACTGCCGTCGCAGGAGAAACGCTTCAACTGAAGTGCCCCGTGGCCGGTTATCCCATCGAGGAAATCCATTGGGAACGCGGAGGACGCGAATTACCCGACGGGCTACGGCAGAAGGTTCTACCCGATGGGACACTCCAGATCAATCCGGTTGAGAAGAAGGCTGACACCGGAATATATACCTGCTGGGCACGGAATAAACAGGGACATAACGCTAGAAGGAGCGGTGAAGTTAACGTAATAGGTAAGGAAACGGACTGATTTATATGCTACACGCGAATCTAGAATTTGCATAATACATACTGATACCTGTTGAACTTAATATGTTTCTGTTACGAGGTTACAGATTGAATCCAAAAGAAGACATTGAAATCAAGAAGGAAGATTAAAATTAATTAATTTTTAGGTTATGATCCTGGCCAAAAAGATGTTTGAAAATGATGAACTCAATCAGCTTAAAAAAAATACTATTTTTTTCAGTTCCCCCAAAGGTTAGTCCATTCTACGCTGAGGATACTCTTCACGTTGGTGATCGAGCGAGTTTAACCTGTTCTGTGACAAAGGGTGATCTACCTCTGACCATATCCTGGCATAAGGACGGTCGAAATGTCGACCCAGCTCAAATGGTTTCGATTACTCAAGTGGATCAATTTACTAGCATTCTATTAATAGAAAGCTTATCACCGCATCACAACGGCAACTATTCGTGCATGGTCCGGAATCAGGCTGCGGAAGTGTCCCATACGCAGCAGCTAGTGGTCAATGGTAAATTTTTGTTGCGCGCCGTGTTCGCGCGTTGTTTTTACCGCCCGCCTTTTCTGTCTCTCTGACGTTTGTTTTTCTCTCTTTTCTCTATTCAGTTCCCCCTATTATTGAGCCCTTTTCCTTCCAAGACGGTCTGTCGGAGGGCATGCGCACGCGCACCGTGTGCGGCGTGAGTTCCGGCGACCCGCCGCTGGTCGTTTCCTGGCTGAAGGATGGGCAGCCGTTGACGGCCGCATTGGGCGCGAATGTTTCGGCCCTTGACCCTTATTCTAGCCTGTTGAGCATTTCTAGCCTTGATTCGAGACACTCGGGGGATTTCACGTGCGTGGCCAGTAATCCGGCCGCGGAGGTTAGGTACACCGCCAAACTTCAGGTCAAAGGTAACAACATCCCCCCATATCCATCCCAAATGCGATTCACTATACCCCTTCACTGCCCTACCACTGTTGCTTTTGGCACACGCCGCAGCCGGCCCCCAAAAAAGGTCAAGGTACTGTTGCACCCACTTTTAATTTTCTTTTTGATTTTTCTATCTTTGTAGAATTTTTTTTATCATATCTTTATTTTTTTGATTTGTCAATTGCATGTGTATGATCGATGGTTTAAAGATGTCTTAAATATCTTAAAGATAATAGAATAATCAAATTCTATCATCTTTTTATTTCAACTGAAATTCAACGGTTAAAGGTGTCTAATATAATTTCATTTTTGAATTTAAGAATTGATTCGGACTTTTGAATTTCGTTGAATTTTTTTTTACTTAATATGTTACGAGGAGCTTTTATACAACACAATTCACCGCCAGCCAGGAATTTTTTACGTCTCCCTCACCAGTATCTGCTTATTGCAGCAATTGCCACCGTATTTATTAGCCACTAACCAATAAAAAAATCCTTTCACCTAAAAAAAATAATAAAACCGCGTAGTGTGTGATTGATGTCGTCACCACCAATTTCACGGCACTCACTAATTACTTATTTAACGCAACGTGTATTTTTGATTGATGTTCTTTTTGCACCGATTTATGAAATAAACTCTTTTCTTCATTAGCCTGATATTTGTTTCAGTTCCTCCGCGATGGCTTGTTGAACCGGTAGACATCAGTGTTGAACGAAATCGTCACGTGGCGCTTCATTGTCAAGCTCAGGGTGTACCAACACCTACAGTTACTTGGAAAAAAGCAACAGGTCAGCAGACAAATAATTATAATTTTGTACTTCAACAATTGCAACGTCTCCATAAACACTTAACAAAGTACAGAACAGAATACATCGAGATTGATGCAAACCGCAACACCTAGAGCAATGATCAAGTTTTGGAACTTCTTCTTGGAACCTAATTATTTCCAACTATATAACTGCTTAAATAATGCAGATTTAAGTTTTCCCAAAAAAAAATTGAAATGAGCATTAATTCCTTCACTGACAAACTGAAAAATTCTTTATTTCTTCTTGAAAAACTCATTATTTCTGAGAGTAGTTCGCACACAATTTTACCTCTAGGTTAAATACTTGCATCACTGCTGAGTCGCAGAGCCAAGCCTTTCCTTCTGCTCTTTATTCATGTCCAAACCAGCTTGGTTGAAAACAGCCTTGTACAAATCCTCTTGCATAGCAATCCTCAAATACAGAAATACGTCGAATAGTGTATTTCTCAAAATAACATTCTCAAATAACTAATTTCCAACATTCATTATCATTTATTTTGATTTACTAATCCATTCTTGTTATTTATGTTTCTAACTCATCATTTAATTTATTATTACAGGTAGTAAATCTGGTGATTATGAAGAAGTGCGCGATCACATGTACACAAAAGTATTAGAAAACGGAACATTACTTCTTCAACATGTAAAAGAAGATCGCGAAGGTTTTTATCTTTGCCAAGCTGATAATGGTATCGGAACCGGGATTGGTAAAGTAATTCAGCTTCGGGTAAATTCGTCACCGTATTTTTCGGCACCTTCCCGATTGATTACGGTGAAAAAAGGTGATACGGCGACGTTGCGCTGCGATGTTAACGGCGATAAACCAATCAGTGTGATTTGGTTGAGAGCCGGAAAAACCGAGTTGAATCCTTCCACGAATTACCGAGTACACGTAAAACAAGATGTTACGCCAGACGGAGTCGCCGCTGAGCTTCAAATTGTTAACGCTGAAGCAGCGGATAGTGGAGCTTATTTTTGCCACGCTAGTAATATGTATGGAAAGGAACAACAATTAGTTAATCTTTTGGTGCAAGAACCTCCGTTAAGTCCCGAACATGTTGAAGCAGCGATGGTTAGTAGTCGATCAGTTAATTTAAAGTGGCAGCATAAATCTGGGGATTCAAATGAAGTTTTTAAATTTGTTGTTGAATTTAAAGAATTAGAACGTATGTATATATATATATTAATTAAGGAAAATAATTATTCTTATTTTATTTAATTTGAAATGTAGGTCCGTGGCAACAAATGGAATTAACTGATACTCCACTACAATACGCGGCTTTAATTGAAAACTTAAAACCGGCTACGAAATATGTTTTTCGTGTTTTTGCTGAGGGTCCTGCTGGAAAAAGTACTCCAAGTGATGAGTTGTTGGTTCGAACTGAACCTCAACGTCCCGCTGGTTCCCCGTTGGATCTCTCCGTTCGGCCAGCTTCCTCAACTTCGTTATTAGTTACGTGGAAACCTCCTTTACCGGATTTAAGACACGGTGATATCCAAGGGTTTAACGTTGGATATCGCGTCGGAAATGTTGGATCGTATAATTTTACTTCCGTATCTGGAGACGGTGAAGATGGCGGCGATGAAGTTTTATTAAACGGATTAGCGAAGTATGCTCGATATGCCGTCGTGGTACAAGCATTTAATGAAGTAGGAGCTGGGCCATTAACGGAACCGGTTACAGCACAAACAATGGAAGATGGTAACAATTAAATTGTTGTTTTAAATGATTTTATGAACAATATTTTTTAGTATTATATGAATCCATGTTGCAAGTTGGGTATATTATAAAATTTGGTTGAAATAATACTAAAATTAAAACTTCTTACTTGCATTAATCATTTATTTTTTCGGTACCGGTTTCAGCCGAATCTTCATCAATCGTAATAATTAAATAGTTTTTGAGTTTAAGATAATTATTATTTGACATAAAATCACCAGTTTTACTTATATATAATCTCTTTTCATTATGACTATCCCTGCGTCCTTATCAGTTTTTACATAAATACTCTTACCTTTATCAAGTTTATTACGTATGGATTTAATAACATTCCTTTCTTGTTGTTGTATCTTATTGTGTTGCTGTTTTTTATCAAACTTCCTTGATATAAATGAGATGAGTTCTTTTCTGATAGAATCATGTTCTGGAAAATTTCTGATGGCCACCTCCAAATCTATGGCATCATGTGGTAAGTTAGTTTTAGGTTGAAGAGCGTAGTTGTGTCCCTTGTTCATTAGGTTAGATTCTTCTTCGCTGAAGGAAATATTAGTAAGGTTTTTGAACTGAATTGGTTTTTCGTGTATGGAAGGATTACTTTTTTTTATATAGGGATGGCATTCTTCCTAAGATTATGTATCGTCTGACGCTGCTTCCTTAGGTCATCCTTTTTGATGAGTATGGCATGTACTGTCACTTCCTGTATTAAGTCCTCAATTTCTAAAAAATGTAATTGTCTGTGGTATTTAGCTAATTTTTCATAAGCTTGGTTTAGTGTCTTAAAATGTCGTCGTTTCTCTTCCTGCATTATCTTCTTAATGATATAACCTTTGGTTTTCTGGTTAAGGTTTTTACATTTTATCTACGCGAATGATGGAACTACGTTTTCCCGTATACATGTGTTAATAAAATTAATATGATTCTTTGTTATCTCCAGTTTGATGTAGCCTTTTTTATAATCATGGATCAAAGATGAAGTATTATCTTGATTATTATTATATGAATCCATGTTGCAAGTTGGGTATATTATAAAATTTGGTTGAAATACTATTAAAATTAAAACTTCTTACTTGCATTAATCGTTTATTTTTTCGGTACCGGTTTCGGTGTTACACCATCATCAGCCGAATCGACATCAAACGTAGTAATTAAATAGTGATACAAAAAGTCAAATACAGTTAAGAATTACAAAATGCCAATATATGTTTTTTAGTGCCAAGTATGCCTCCAATGGATGTTAGATGTGCGGCCGTGACTTCACAATCCCTTCAAATAAGTTGGCAACCACCTCCCTCTGAACATTGTAATGGAATCTTACAAGGTTACAAATTAACGTACGAACCCGTCATGGACGAAAATTGGAAAGGAAACGACGAATTGGAAACGAGAAAAACCACTGCTCTCACAACGGTTATTACAGGGTTAAGAAAATACACCAATTACAGTTTTCAAGTGCTGGCATTTACGAAAATAGGAGATGGAATCTTCACTGCCACAACTTACTGCCAAACCGAAGAGGATGGTTTGTAAAATTTTTTTCATAATTATCGAGATATTTTTCGATATTTTTTTTTTTGATTTAGTGCCGGGTGCTCCCGCTGATATAAAAGTGGTAGTCAGCTCGCCACAGTCGCTTTTAGTTTCTTGGTTACCACCCCACGAACCCAACGGGCTCATCACTAAATACAATTTATACAAACGAAGTATGGATGGTAGACAGGAAATAGACCACGCGAAACAACCCATATCCAGCCAACACACGAATTACGAAGCTAAAGGAATTCAACCGAACGTTGAATATCAATTTTGGGTTACGGCATCGACCAGAATCGGCGAAGGACAAAGTTCAAGAGTTGTTACTCAAGTTGCTTCAAATAGAGGTTTTTTTAAATATTAATTGAAGAGTTAATATTTTAATTATGTTTTATAGTTCCAGCGAGAATAATATCGTTTGGTGGTACGGTGGTACGTCCATTTCGTGGTTCAATAGCTTTATCTTGCATAGCTGTTGGATCTCCACGGAGGGAATGGCAAAGAGGTGATCAAATTTTAAAAGGTGGTGCGAATCATAACGTACAACTCCTCGATACCGGCGAATTAATTTTATCCAGCCTCCAACAAACCGATTCAGGGAATTATACATGTCACGTTGATAACGGCCAAGGCAGTGATAAAGTAACGTATAATTTAATCGTTCAAGTTCCGCCTATGGCGCCACTTTTATACGCAACAAGCGCAACGAGTAGCAGTATTTTGCTTCATTGGAAAGCTGGGAATAACGGAGGAGCCGCGATCAGCGGATACACATTAAATTATCGTAAAGAACACGGAAATTTGGATGAAGTTATGTTATCTCGGCACGCAGTTAGTTTCGAATTAAAAGGGTTATTGTGCGGCACGCAGTATCATTTATATTTGGTCGCTCATAATAAAATCGGAAGTTCGCCGGCGAGTCATCCCTTACAAGCGAGAACTCAAGGGCGGCCTCCGGGTGTTCCTATTGCATCACAGTTTATCTCGCCTAATTCTACCTCGGTCGTTTTGCGGTTACACGTTTGGCCGGATAACGGATGTCCTATTTTGTATTTTATCGTGCAGTATAGAAAGGCGGCCGAATCTCAATGGACCTTAGTTTCGAACGCTTTAAAGCCGCAAAGAAGAACATCGATCACCGGATTAAATCCGGCTACTCAATATATCGTTAAATTGGAAGCCCATAATATCGCTGGATATTCTATGGAGGAATTTTCTTTTATGACATTAACAAAGGATGGGGGTAAAAATACACTAATAAATTAACTAAATTAATATAATATGTTTTTTGCTTTAATTTTAGATGTTCCTCCACCCGATTTAATGAAACAAGGCAACGACACCTTACCATTTTACACCGATTTTAAAATAATCCTACCTCTTGTTGTGGTTGCTGTAATTTTATTAATTTCTGGTGCTACAGTTATCGCATGTTGGAGAAATCGTAATTAATTTTCGTTTTAAAAGCGTCAATTTATTAAATTTCTTTTTTTAAGGGCAAAACGAAGCCGCCAAAGAACAATTAGATAATCAACAAAACGCGGAAGCTCAAAGGGAACGTTATTACGCAACGATTCATAAAGTTTCTTTACAATCGGGTGAGAAAATTCCAGGTATCTCCAAATCCTTTCCTACTTAAAAATAAAATTTTTTTTTTGGACTTTTTATGTTTACAGAAACCTCCGAGGATATATCGCCATACGCGACTTTTCAACTTTCCGAACCGAGTACTTTACCTCAAAACACAATGCTTCATAGTTTCATGTACCATGAACATGCCATGACTGAAGGTTGCGCGTCACCTCCGCCATCTACATCCGTACAACGAAACTCACCTTATTACAATATTGTAAGGATTAGAAATGTTGGAGAGATAAAAAAATGTTTAATGTGTGTTTTAGCAAAAATTTCAAAGTACCAAAGGGCATGGACGTCGCAGAGCCAATCGAAAAGCTGATGTAGACACCGACGAAAGTGAGTCCGACCCCGAACAATTAACTTCAAGTAGGACAGAGTCTTCCAATCAATTAGATATGAAGCATAAACATAGTAAGATAATTAAAAAGTACTATTTTTAAAAAATTATTTTATTTGTTTTAAGATATCATATACCATGGTCATTCGAGTACCTCTTCAGATCTGTCACCAATGTCCGAACAGAAATCGTTGCCAAGAAGAGGCCGTTCGAGGTACTCCAATTTGAAATCGACAAACATTCGTCAAAATGACCAAGCGGTCGATTACAGGTGGCTGCCACAACAACGTGGGAGGACAATGCTTTCCAATTTATCGGTAGCGGAGACTGCGTTTACTGAAGGAGGACCTGGTCAACCACCCCCTGGCGAACAAAGTACCCCTGATCGACCAGAACTGAGTGAAGCAGAATGCGATATCGATACGCTCAAGAAGCTCAAACTTGGATTGCGGTCGTCGCTTTGGTCGCGACCGACCGCTTCCGGTCAACCATCCGATTATTCTATAGCGGTTTAAATGTGTTCTTAATTGTATAAAAAAATAAAAATAAAATAAAAAGGTTGAAGAAAAGTTAAAAGACTTGAAACGGTGGTTTTTAATAAACGTTTTTGAGAGGTTACGATGATGTATTTTAAGGTTAAAAAAAAGGGTTTTTCGCGAGGAAAGTTTTTGTTAAATAATTTTTAAAAGAATCAAAATTAATTATTAGCGTTGAGATAATATATTATACAATTTTATACAATCAAAAAGAAAATGATTATGAAGAAAAAAATGGAGATGATGAAATTATGAAGATATTTAGATAAAAACGATTAAATGTTTATGAAAGGGTAGGATGTTTGTTTTCCGTTTTTTTTTTGTACATAGTATTAAATTTTGGGTTGAAAGAATTTCCTTTTTGTTTTCGAATCAGGTTAAATAACAGAATCATAGATGATAATAACTAATCTTCCGTACTTCCGTGTACCACAGAGAAAACAAACAATCAATGTCTGACGAAATCAAAACTTCCCTAGTCCCATAATTGTAAAACAATATGTATAATAATAGATCCATTTGAATTATAATAAATTTATTGTAAATTATATTGAAGCTTTTTTATTTTTTACTTATTACAGTAAATATATAATGACCTAAAAATTGTGAGTAGAATTAAAATAAAATAAATTGAAGTAAATTGAAGTGGCGTTAGGTTCAACATGTTTTCCATGGTTGCAGTGGGGGAAGCCCGTAGCGCACATGTAACATACAAACACGCAAGGCTTTGTACTTTATTAAGTGCAGCAGTGGATGCAGACTGTAAGGTCTTTGACATAAAAAAATAAGGCCTTATAAATCAGCAATAAATGTGTAAATTTTTTGTATTTTATAACTTTTTGCCATAAAGACAACGTCAATATATTTTTTTCATCACGTTCAAAATACATAGTTACATGAATACTTTAGAGTTAAATGCTTTCAAATGCATAATATAAGGAGATATATTATAAAAACAAAAATTGTCATACATTTTATGACAGCGCACCCGCTCGAAGGTTAAATCCACTATGGAGGAATTTAGAAGAATGCAATTTGGCAGATAACTGTTACTATGTTATTACAAGGTGCTAAAAAAATCAACCCTTACAATACTTTGCATTAGAACTTTTTAATGCGTCTACATTTTTCTATTTAAAAACTTGATGTAAATAAAGGGATTCAATATACAACTTTTTTGTTTCTTGACACTTTCTCCTAATATTGTTAGTTTGACCACAAAAAAATAAAATAATACACGCGCTTAAGTAAATTAATTCAGATTGGTTATTATTAGTCAAAGTTATGTCAAATTGATCTCAGCATTATTTTATTTTTTGTGATCAAATTAAATTAAAATTAACAATTAGTTGTAAAATCTCAAGAGATAAGAAAGTTGCAGATTTTTCCCCTTAACTTTAGAGGACTACAACTTGGAGGAGAAGAGGTACTTTTCTGTACTTTACTCTTACTTTCATTTACTAGACTAAACCATGTTTGTGGTGTTAGAAATCCAGATATTAGGGAAAAATAAAAATTTATTTAAGAAACATTAAAATTATATTTTTAAAATGAAAATTATTTTTCAATTAATAGTACAAATTAATCTTCAAAGAGTGTTTTTGTTTTTATAAGTCGAGAATTCTTGTTATTATTTTTCTGATATTGTCTTGGTCGACTAAAAGTCTGTGGGTCAAGACGTCTAAGTACACTCGAAGCTTTACCAGTTTGATCCACATTAAATAATTTCCGCTTAGGGACGTGTCGAAGCGCATATTTCCAATCATTTGTTCTTTTTACATCCAACAAAATCGAAAGAACCTGATTTAAAGTTAAGCTTTTTCCACTTCCTGCGCCCCAACTCAAATATTTATCTAAAGGAAATTTCTGCATCTTTATCCCTTCCTTTTTTGCTTTGGCAAAAGTTAAAGGCTCTTGATTAATCTGTAACACAAAAATTAAACAACTTGTTATTAACAATTTTGTTATAAATAATACCTTATCAACTATAGCCCCAACTATATAAATAGCATCATGATCATAATTTGTCATAACATCACGAGCATGTGGTGTTAAATAAACCAATTTTTCTTTTTCAAATACGTTTGTGTAACTATCATCATGAAAATGTAATGGAAATGAAGGTTCATACATTGTAGCAATGTGTTTATGTAATGCTTTCATTAATTGACCCTCACGATTTGCATTACAAAAATGTAAATCAAAGGGATCGTCATCGTTGCGATTATCACTAAACAATAACATCAATTGCTTTGCGCAGTTTATATTTTCTCTTGTAACCATATTTTTCTCAAAACCACAATCGACAATTAATTTCTGACCGAATTGCATTGCTTGGATCAGTTTATGATTCAAAAATTGATTGATTGTGGTATCATAAAATCTTAAAAAAATATTATTATGTCCTAAACCATAAATTATATGAGAATTATCTTCTGGTTTAGGAGAATTAAGATATTCTTCACGTTCTATTCGTTTTTTCTCTTTACGTAATTGCTCGTTTTCTTTCTTCTTTTGTAATTTAAACAAAAATGTTAAATATTTTCTTCGTGCCGACATGGATGGTAATTTTAACAATTCACTCCAGTGGTCGTCCCTTATAAATGAAGCATCCGGAACTGCCCGTCCATCTTGTCTCATTACCTCAGCCTCCAGCATCAAAACTTTTAATTTGTGCTTTAATTCCGGATCGTCTTTGGTTATTAAGTCTATATTAGGTTCTTTATTATCCAGATCTAAATTAAAATCATGTAGAAAACAACATTTATTCTTTTAAGAAACTAACCTGCATTTTCCACCTTTATTGCGGTGGAATATTTTCGATTGAAAACGTTTTTTTCTATTAAATTCTTATTGAGGCTATTTAACTTTAAATTAGGACGTTTCAAAGCGATTTTACAACAATTTTGGAATATTTGAAACATTTTTAATCATATAACCTCACTTTTTATATTTGACAGTTGTGCAATTAATATAACCTAGAAATCGAATGTACACATGTTTAAATGAGAAAAAATGCTTTTTTAACTTCTAAAACACATTTTTTTAAACAAAAAAGTGAATTATTAGTTTATTTAAACAAAATACTTTAATTTAAATCGAATCTATTATCAATTTCGCAATTATTGTAATTAAAAACATAACCTCAAATATGCCTTTGTGTAGTGCAAAATGTGGTAAAAATGCAATATTAAAGGTAAATTATATTTGGAAAAATTCAAGAATCATTTCATGTGGCTTAAAAATTGGCGATTTTTTTAATCAATGTGAGATGACCTAAAAAATGTTAAAAATAAAAAAAAAGTGCGGAAAAGTGTAGAACATAGCGAAAAATCATTTTAATGTTTCGACTGAATCCTAGATATTGGTAGTAAACGACTAAAATCTGCTTGGAAAGAGGAAATACTATTTCGAAAGTTACCTACTGCTTCTAAAATGCTAGATACTGCAGAAAATGACCACAACTTACTTGGAAAAGACTAGATACTGTTTTCAAAGTAATACCTATTGCTACCAGAACGCTAAACACTGCTGTCAGCCTACTTGGAGAGGCGGAATACTGCTTCCAAGACTACTTATTGCTTTCAAAGACTTTAATAATTGTTTGGAAAAGAGATTTGCTTTCCAAAAAGCTACATACCACTTCTTCCAGAATGTTAGATACTGCTGGAAAAGATTAATAACTACTTGGAAAGAACAGATATGCTGTCCAAAAAAAGTACCTACTGCTTCCAAAATGCTAGTTACTGGTGGAAAAGATTACAATCTGCTTGGAGAAGACTAGATAGTGCTAACAAACAACTACAAACTGATTGGAAAGACAAGGTACTGCTTCCATAAGACTACTTACTGCTTTCAGAGCGCTATATAATACTAGAAAAGATTACAACTTGCTTGGAGAAGACTAAATACTGTTGGGACAAACTAATTATTTGCTTGGAAAGACAAGATACTGTTTTCAACTACTTTCAGAATACTAAATACTGTTGGAAAGACTACTAATTGCTTGGAGAAAGCTAGATATTGTTGGAAAAGACTATTTAATGCTTTCAGAAGACTATATACTGCTGCCAAAACACTACTACTATCCGTGCAAAAAGTCAAGGCCCCTCACTTTAGAGATCGATATCTTCGCAACCGCTCCATAAAAATAATTGCACCAAAATTTGTTGTAATCACTGAACATTTCTATGTAACATATGTTAATTTGAAAATGTTCGAATCCACGGTTTTCTTTTTATCGCGAGTTAAATGAAAAAAATACCCGATTTTTTACGGTACCAGCAACTTTGTCAACTATGCGATTTTTTTTCTCGAAAACTATCGTACGAAAAAAATTGAATTTTAAACAGGTGGTAGCCTGATGTGTTCTTAATGAGTGGCAAATTTTATTTTTTCGATATTCTATACAGTTTCGCGGAAAATCGCGGTTTAAGTAAGACGCCGTTATGTCGAAAACTGCTGGGGATTTGACCAAAATATGTCAAATAATGTCGGTTGGCGGATTCCGTTATCAGTTTTACAAAATTAGAGCTTTTTAAGAGCGATTTAATGGAATTACAAATTAAAGAGAAACAGAAATAAGCTCTGCGAGGTGACGGGGGTTCCCTCCAATCGGAACAGAAGGTGCGTCCCAGACAGGACGTCGCGCCTTATTTCTTTATGTAGGTAAGATAAAGACGCGACGTACCGTCTGGGACACACGATCTGCTCCGATTGGACGGAACCCTCCTCTCCCCGCATAGCTTATTTCTGTTTCTCTTTAATTCCATTAAATCGCTCTTAAACAATTAGGAAAAAAATGTTTTAAGCGACATGATGATTCTTGAATTATACCTCATATTTATTTAACGATTTTATTTTATTATTTTCTTATTTTAGCGCCCAAAAACTGGTGATAATTTATGTAAGGAATGTTTTTTTGAAATTTTTGAAAATGAAATTCATTTTACAATATCTCGTTCAAAAATATTTAAACCAGGCTCAACGGTGGCTATTGGAGCTTCTGGTGGTAAAGACTCAACCGTTTTAGCTTACGTTTTAAAACTATTAAACAAAAAATACGATTACGGATTAAATTTGGTTCTTTTATCGATTGATGAAGGTATAACGGGGTATCGAGATGATAGTTTAAAAACCGTTGAAAAAAACAAGGAGGATTACGAGATGCCTTTGAAGATAATGTCATATAAAGATTTATATGGCTGGACGATGGATGAAATTGTTGAAAAAATTGGTCGTAAAAATAATTGTACATTTTGTGGCGTTTTCCGTCGACAAGCTTTAGATCGTGGGGCTCAAATATTAAATGCAAATTATTTAGTGACTGGTCATAACGCTGACGATGTGGCTGAAACGGTTTTAATGAATATTTTAAGAGGAGATTTAGCACGATTAAAACGTTGCACCTCAATTGTAACGGATTCTTCTGGTGGTGATAATATTCCAAGAGTAAAACCTTTAATTTATAGTTACGAAAAAGAAATAGTAATGTACGCGTATTTTAAAAAACTGGTTTACTTTTCAACCGAATGCGTTTTCGCGCCAAACGCTTATAGAGGCCACGCTAGGGTTTTGTTAAAAGATCTCGAAAAAATCGATCCCGCAATTATTATGAATATCATCCAGTCAGGACAAACATTAAAAATTGATGAGGAGAGAAAATTACCAACGTTGACAAGATGCGAAAGATGTAATTATGTTTCATCTCAACCCCTGTGTAAAGCTTGCGTTTTATTGGAAGGATTAAATAAGGGGTTGCCAAGGTTGGGAATAGGAAAATCAAGTCGTGTTAATCGACATATTCAAATGAATTTGAAAGATAATAAAAATTTTAAAGGAAATTGTTATAATGGTTGTAGTGAAAATTGTAATAATACAGATAAAAATAAATAATTTAAAAATTGCCATTGGAGTATCTTTCCATCACTAAAAGAATTTTAATTTTAATTGGTTTGACAAAATACGTATGAGAGAGTATAATCTTATTTAATATAATTTTAATTTTCTCTAGAAACAACTTTTTTGACTTCTAATTTCATTGTTTTACAAAATACAAATATTGTTAATAATAAATGGGTCGTAATAAGTCGTTGATTGTTTCCGTTTCGGATTGCGTAATTTCTTTGTTAGGACGAACTGGTCTCAACAAGTCTTGAACGGATCCTGGTTCATTTGGGTTGATTTCCATTTCTGGGCGAATTGGCCTTAACAAATCGTTAACGGATCCGGGTTCGTTGGGATTGATGTCAATTTCTGGACGAATTGGGCGAAGGAGGTCATCGACTGATCCTGGTTCATTTGGATTAATGTCGATTTCGGGTCTGATTGGGCGGAGGAGGTCATCTACAGATCCAGGTTCGTTGGGGTTGATATCAATTTCGGGTCTGATTGGGCGGAGAAGATCATCAACTGATCCAGGTTCATTGGGGTTGATATCGATTTCTGGACGAATTGGACGAAGCAAATCATCTACAGATCCAGGTTCGTTGGGGTTGATGTCAATTTCGGGTCTGATTGGGCGGAGGAGATCATCGACGGATCCTGGTTCGTTGGGGTTGATGTCGATTTCAGGTCTGATTGGACGAAGAAGGTCATCGACGGATCCTGGTTCGTTAGGGTTGATGTCAATTTCGGGTCTGATTGGACGAAGCAAGTCATCTACAGATCCTGGTTCATTTGGGTTGATATCAACTTCAGGTCTGATTGGGCGGAGAAGATCATCAACTGATCCAGGTTCATTGGGGTTGATATCGATTTCTGGACGAATTGGACGAAGCAAATCATCAACAGATCCTGGTTCGTTAGGGTTGATGTCGATTTCGGGTCTGATTGGGCGGAGGAGATCATCAACGGATCCTGGTTCGTTGGGGTTGATATCAATTTCGGGTCTGATTGGGCGGAGGAGATCATCAACAGATCCTGGTTCGTTAGGGTTGATGTCGATTTCAGGTCTGATTGGGCGAAGAAGGTCATCGACAGATCCTGGTTCATTTGGATTGATATCGATTTCTGGACGAATTGGACGAAGCAAATCATCAACAGATCCTGGTTCGTTAGGGTTGATGTCGATTTCGGGTCTTATTGGCCGGAGGAGATCATCAACGGATCCTGGTTCGTTAGGATTGATATCAATTTCGGGTCTGATTGGACGAAGAAGATCATCAACGGATCCTGGTTCATTTGGGTTGATATCGATTTCTGGACGAATTGGACGAAGCAAATCATCAACAGATCCTGGTTCGTTAGGGTTGATGTCGATTTCGGGTCTGATTGGGCGAAGGAGATCATCAACGGATCCTGGTTCGTTGGGGTTGATGTCGATTTCTGGTCTTATTGGCCGGAGGAGATCATCAACGGATCCTGGTTCGTTAGGATTAATATCAATTTCGGGTCTGATTGGGCGAAGAAGATCATCAACGGATCCTGGTTCATTTGGGTTGATATCGATTTCTGGACGAATTGGACGAAGTAAATCATCTACAGATCCGGGTTCGTTAGGATTGATATCGATTTCAGGTCTGATTGGGCGGAGGAGATCATCAACGGATCCTGGTTCGTTGGGATTGATGTCGATTTCAGGTCTGATTGGGCGAAGAAGGTCATCGACGGATCCTGGTTCATTTGGGTTGATATCGATTTCTGGACGAATTGGACGAAGCAAATCATCAACAGATCCTGGTTCGTTAGGGTTGATGTCGATTTCGGGTCTGATTGGGCGGAGGAGATCATCAACGGATCCTGGTTCGTTGGGGTTGATATCAATTTCGGGTCTGATTGGGCGAAGAAGATCATCTACGGATCCTGGTTCATTTGGGTTGATATCGATTTCTGGACGAATTGGACGAAGTAAATCATCTACAGATCCGGGTTCATTGGGGTTGATATCAATTTCGGGTCTGATTGGGCGGAGGAGATCATCAACGGATCCTGGTTCGTTGGGATTGATGTCGATTTCTGGACGAATTGGACGAAGTAAATCATCTACAGATCCGGGTTCGTTAGGATTGATATCGATTTCAGGTCTGATTGGGCGAAGGAGATCATCAACAGATCCTGGTTCGTTGGGATTGATGTCGATTTCAGGTCTGATTGGGCGAAGAAGGTCATCGACGGATCCTGGTTCATTTGGGTTAATATCGATTTCTGGCCGAATTGGACGAAGCAAATCATCCACAGATCCAGGTTCGTTAGGGTTGATATCAATTTCTGGCCGAATTGGGCGAAGCAAGTCACCAACAGATCCTGGTTCATTAGGGTTGATGTCGATTTCTGGCCAAATTGGTCGAAGCAAGTCATCAACGGATCCAGGTTCGTTGGGGTTGATATCAATTTCTGGCCTAATAGGGCGAAGAAGATCACCTACTGATCCAGGTTCATTTGGATTAATCTCTATTTCCGGTTTAATTGGACGAAGCAAATCATCAACAGAATCTGGATTCTTACATGGTACCTTCAAACTAGCAGCATCGCTTAAATAGCCTTGAACAAATTAAATTACACAATTATCCAATTTCATAATTGAACCCAAATCATAATTATAATGAAAATAAAGTAATTAGATTCTTTATAACTTACCATTTACGGCCAATAGAACTAGAATGACCACTCCCAAACGAGTCGTCGTCATTCTACTTTCTTATTGTAAGCAAATTTCGTGTATGACTACGTGCCTCTGTTTCAACTTCATTTATATAGAAAACGCTTATCTTTGGAATTATATATTAATCCCGAAATCTCGCAAAAAATCCTCATCTTTTTGAATAGTACCTCTAAACTGCGCATGATTTAATTGCATCTTATACAACTATAATTTGCTTTATTAAGATTGCACTTTAAAAATGTGATTTATTATCCCTGTTATAAAACGGTTAAGCGTTAAAATTTATTGGGATAATATATTTTTCAGAAACCTAATTGCTGTCAAAAAGTCTGAAATTTAAATATTGTTTTTTAATTTAATCGCAGATATTGATCTCATTAAGAAAAAAATATCATTGGTGTCATTTTTATGTTATATTTAACCAGGAGAGTGATCGATTATAAGATAAATAAAATAAATTATAACTAAGGTGGAAGATTAACGGGATAAACAATTTTTTTTAAATTTTATTGTATTCATCTCTGAACAAAGCGAATTATTATCTAAATTACGCGGTATGATTTAAATTACGTTCGAAAGTTGCAAATCATTCGTTGTACTTTGTAGTTTTAAACTATTTTATGAGGTGTCTTTTTTGGAAGAACGATTACAATAGATGTTTATATTTATTTATTTATTAACCTTTGGATTAATGCAAGATAACTGTTTCTAAGATAAAAATAATGAAAATTTTATGTTAATGTTAATACAATTTTAAAGATTTAAAAAATATATTGATTTTGAAATAAGAAAACCTTGAAAGCAATTCATTGGTAATCTTATTTTTCACTGATATTGTACGCTCACAATTTATATTAAAAATTAAATCAATTAAAGGGATCAATTTTTTGTTCATCTATTTTATTATGGTTTTATTTTGAACGGAGTTTGCTGATAAAGAGATTATCATAAATATACCGTAAAAAATTACCAAACAAACAAAAATTTTTAATTAAAAGAAAACTGAAAGGTTAATTTGAAAGTATTATAATACAATTGATGTGCATTTTTGAATATGACATTGCTAAAATCACGCTGTCTTTAAAAATGCACGTCCTATGATTCGAAGTTTTATTAGAAGGATCATTTTCACTAAAGAAAGTAGTCATAAATAACATTTTATTCCCGTTAGAATGTCGGGAATTCGTGATTTTTATAAAAACCGTTCGATTTTAATCACCGGTGGGACGGGATTTATGGGAAAAGTTTTAATAGAAAAGATATTAACATCCATACCGGATGTAGGTACAATCTTCGTATTGGTTCGACCAAAAAAGGGGCTCAGTCCCCAAGAAAGGATCGAAGCTATGTTAAAAAAAGAAGTAAGTTCAATTCATTATGATATTTTTTAGCGAAATAGTATTATATTTTAGCCATTCACTTTTAATGATATCGCCCCAAACCAATTTAAAAAAATTATAGCAATAGAAGCCGATACAAGTGTTGAAAATCTTGGTTTAAACAACACCGATAGAGAAACAATAAAAAACCAAGTATCGGTTGTAATGCATTTCGCAGCTTCTATTCGATTTGATTTGCCGCTACTTGAAGCGATGAAACAAAACGTTTTGAGTCTGTTTAATATTTTAAATTTGTGTAAAGAAATAAAAAATATAGTTTCCATTATTCATCTTTCAACTACTTTTTGTAATATCGATGTGGAATGCATGGAAGAAAAAGTTTACGACTTTGATAATGTCGATTCGCCGTTGGAAACTGTAAAAATTGTAAAAATGTTTAGTGAAAAGTTTAAAAACGATGAGGTTTTATTAAAAAAAATTGAAAAAAGTTTTATTAAACCACATCCAAATACCTATACTTATACAAAACGATTAGCCGAAATTGTTGCTAGAGATATGGGAAATGATTTGCCAATTATTATTGCAAGACCATCAATAGGTATGTATAGAAATATGGGTTAAAAAATGATTTTTTTTTAAATTGTCTTTATTAGTAACAAAATGTATACTTTGTATAGCTATTTAACTGTATGCCTAAACTTAAGCAAAATATACAATTCCTCACCACGAGTCAGACTCAGACATTTCATACTAAGAGGGCGACCGACTACCTTATTATCGCTGAAAAATGGGATGAAAAATTGTGTTTTATACAAGTATTTGTACACTGTTTTGATTCGAAGCAGCTCTTAAGATAAAATAAATTAGTATGTTAAAATACCTTGTTTTGAAACAAATACTTTGTTTCTGCCAATATCATTTTAGGTCTGAATATAATAATATGCTTCTGAGTGTGATGATTTTTTCTGCTAATGACCAATATATTGTTTCTGCGCCAAATAATTCATAATATTGCGCTTCGAAATAATCTTTTCTCTATAATATTAAACTTCTATGCGCGATTTTCCCTTTGATGACTTATTCTTTCTGCCAATACTTTGCTTTTAAACATGATATTTTCCTTTTACATTAAATACTTTCTATTGCATCTGCTGAAAATATTGTTTATGATCATAATACTTTATTTCTAAAAATAATTTTTTGTTTTGCCTAAGATTAGTCGCACTTCAGGGTGTATCTTATCGTTATTTTATCAACCAACATTTAATGAAGATCTAAAGAGATAACAACAAATATACAGTATTGATCTATAACTACCAAATTTTTGCGTTCTTTGCCTATCAGGTTCTAAACCTATGTATACAAGTAGTAATTGGTCCTGACAACATAAGCATAACACAAACTCTTCAGTGTATTTGTATTTTTTATATTCTTGTCCAAGTGCTTATAACAATTTTCAGGTTTTTCCCTGAGAACATTATTATAACCACCATAAGATAACCGGGCATTGTATTGATTCATGGACTACCGTGCTGTTCTTAGTCTTCATCTGCCAGAAATAAAATGAAAAATCTTGGCGAACTGAATCAATTTAATCAACTTCCATACAATATCTGCAATGATCATCTGCATCTCTACATGGAATTGTTTGCAATGAGTTATTAGCTAATATATAAGGCTTATTATTAACACCTAAATAACAAAAAAAAAGAACATTAAAGTGTTTTTTACTTTCTAGTTCTTCCGTCTTATAAATTACCAACTCCAGGTTGGGTAGATAATTTAAACGGCCCAATGGGAATCTTAACTGCTGCTGGTAAAGGTGTTTTAAGGGTTTTATATGCAAATGTGGACACATATCCCCAATTAATTCCCGTTGATGTTGCAATAAATGGAACGTTAGCAATCGGTTGGTTAAGAGCGAAACAAAAATTTGAAGAAACACCCGTTTATAACATAACACAAGGGGATTTGTACAAAATTACTTGGAGGGAAATATCTGAAAAAGCACGAGTTTTAGCCATTAAATATCCTTATAAAAGATTTTTATGGTACCCAAGTGGATTTGCAACGTCCAGTTTTTGGTTATACACGATTCTAAGTTTCTTTTTGCACACAATACCGGCATATTTTGTTGATTTTTTGTTAGTTATGTTTTTCCAAAAACCTTTGTAAGTTAAAAAATGATTTTTCATGAATTCACAACTTTCAACAAAGAGGTTAAATTTTAGTTTGGTTAATATTCAACAAAGATTAAGTTTGGGTATGGACCTGATTGCCTATTTTACATTAAAAAATTTTAAATTTCTCAATGAAAAAGTACAAAAATTACACCTGGTTTTATCGGAGGAGGAACAGGATATTTTCTATATGTCAAATAAAGAATACAACATAGATGAGTATATAACAAAATGCTTTTTTGGATCAAGAAAATATAGCTTAAAAAATGAAGATACAAACGACTTATTAAAATCACGAATTATTCTTAATATGTAAGTTAATTAAAATTAATTAAAAAAAAAAACATTAAAATTTTCTTATTTCCAGATGTTATATCATTGATATATGTATTAAGATATTTTTCGTATACATAGGGTTTAAATTAATACAAACATTGCTTTCAGGTTATAAATAACTGTATTTTCAAGGAAATTAAATACAATCAAAATAAACATTTAATAAAAATTCTTACCAACTATGAGATGTTGTCTTAATTTTACTATTTCTATTAGAACAAATTAAATTGTGGAATAAAAAAAAATCTTTTAAAGAATACATTATACAATCTAAAAATCTCTTTTTATCATTTTTTTATGCCTCTGATTCACCAGTTGTGCCATCATCTTCTAAAATTGGAACAATCAAATTATCCTTAGACATCAAATTATATTTTGTAACAAAATAAGTAAACCTCCTACATAAACATGTATCGTTCTCAAACAAATCAAATATCAGTCTATGATGATAATAAGCATGGGAGAAGATTCGATAAACTCTTCGACAAACTGATCCCAATTTCGCAACGGATGACTCTTTAATACTCACACGGCTTGGAAAATACTTGTTGCTGTTTAAAAGACATGCAGCACCATCTAATGTATGTCTGGTGTAATCAATAGCTGGACATTCTTTTGGAGTTTTATGAGCAGCACATAAAAATATCCATTGTTCAGTGGCTGTCATTTGGGTGCAAGTTTCTGGATGACATTCACCTTGTAATCTTACTGCGAGACCATTTAACTCCATGCAAAACTGGCGGAGATGTTCGTACTTCCAAACACCTTCATCTTGAGCATCGGGCATTTTTAAAATTAATTCTATGTTTGAGGGATCACGTTTTATTATTTGTTGAATGTATTGTTGTACAGCTAGTGTACTATCCATTTCTTCAAACGCTTCATCAGGCCAACGACAAAAATCCTAAATAAATCAAAAAAAAATTTTTGAGGTTACATTTTTATTTGACAGTTCAATTTAGTTGCAAAAATTTAATTTATTTTTTTATGATTTGTATTAACTTAAATAATGATTTAAAAAAACATAAATAATTAGATGATTACTTCACTTAAAAAAAACTCAATCATTTAATAATAAAATTACCTTGGCTTTAGTTCCTGGTCTATTTCTTCTTAAAATCATACATCCATCTGCCATCTTCATCTTTAAACGGTCTTAAAAGCGAAATTACTTATTTTAAGAGAGAAAGTGATCTCGACACGAAGACAACAAGAAGCATCAACAGGAAATTTTTAATCTTAATACAAATGACATTGACATTTGACAAGTCAAGTCTTAGAAATATTTTTGATTTTCTACAAGCAATAAAAAAGGGATAATTAATATTAATTATAAATAATAGTAGATAATAATGAGGGGTTTGCTGAATATTTACTAAAACATAAATAAATAAAACAAATTTAAGGTAATATTTGGATTATTATGGTTATTTATTTTTTTTTAGATTGGTACACTTGACTGTCAAAAATGTGGATGGATCGATTTAGGAATGGCGGTTTGTGTACGGAAGATCACTGAGATGCTAAAAATGTGATGTAAGCAAATTTCAAGTTGTGTCGGTTGTTGGTTGTGCGTCCCGTGGATCAAAAATATAAAATCATTAACGAAAAAAAAGTATCAATATAAAATAGTGCGTATCGAAAGAAATAAATCGCGCGCCGTGCAAATGTTGAAGCAACTGCAGATCGGCTTACGAGGCTTCTTACTGCTCGCTTCCAAGGTTTGGAGTTGTTTATGTTATGTGATAAAGAAGCAGGGAAGAGCTGTAAGTTGCCCTCCCCCAAAAAAGGGGGTATTTGACAACCAAAATTTTTTATAATCACGACCCAACAATTTTTTTTATTCATAATTTAAAAAAAAAATATTTCCAACCTGTAATTGTACTTTGATTAAGAAATAGAAGAGATTAGATATTTGTTATATACGGGATAGATTAGATAATTACTTGTATTTTTTTGTTTTAGATAAGGAGAATTTGAAATGTTTTATGTAGATTTCTAACTTAAGATCCCATTTATCTTATCGGTGTTTATTATTTCGGGACTAAACAAGCTTGTTTACATTCTCCATGTTAAGATGTATAAAAGGAGGAAATTAAAATTTCTTTTATTATTTACTTATGCGATTTAATAATAAAGTGAGGTTATGTTTTTTATTATTTATTTTTCAGATTATCCAACATCAATCTGTAAAATATGATATATTTCCATTATCACCTTTATCAAAACACAGACTTAGTAAGTAATAAGAATGAAGTTGAAACTTTTATGACATATTTTTTTTTCTAAATAGGTATAGTAAAACGAAAAGTTCTAGTATTGGATCTAGACGAAACGTTAATACACTCGTTCCATGACGGTGTGGTCCGACAGACTGTAAGGCCGGGAACACCGGCGGATTTTGTGCTGCGAGTGGTAATCGATCGGCATCCAGTGCGTTTTTTCGTTCACAAAAGGCCGCACGTCGATTTCTTTCTTGATATCGTCTCGCAGTGGTACGAATTGGTCGTTTTCACTGCGAGTATGGAGATTTATGGTGCAGCCGTTGCGGATCGATTGGATGCCGGACGTGGTATATTACTACGAAGGTTTTATCGGCAACATTGTACTCCTGATCTAGGATCTTATACCAAGGACCTAAGCGCTATCTGCAACGATCTCTCCAGTGTATTCATATTGGATAATAGTCCTGGAGCCTATAGAGCGTATCCAGGTAAATAGTAAATCAAAAAAATGTTAAAATGAAGTTGTATCAATTTTTTATATCAACAAATAGTGGCTCCAAGCCAAACTTGGACACTAAAGTAGTAATACATACTTTCTTATTAAAAAATATTTAAACTAAAACAGCAAGGGTAAAAAAGTAAATTGATTTTCAGTAATTTATTAATTGTATATTCAAAAAACAAACACAAAATACAAAAATTTATTTACTATAATATAAAAATAAACGAAAACAGTACAAAAACTATGCATAAGCCAAACACGGACAGTAAACAAAATTTAGAAAAGCAGGGATGATTGGAGGAAAAGTGGGCCTCAATTAAAGAGAGGAGCCCTAGCCTGGTACACCAATGCTTCAAAGACAGTTAGATGTGTCTTTGAAGTAGCCACATTACATTGCCCCTCAGCTCGGACATAACCATTTTTCAAGCAGAAGTTCTTGCTATAAACTTCTGCACCGCGCTTTGAACCTACAAAAGGGCAATTCACGCTTACATGTTTGACTCTGCACTGATCAGGGAGTGTACCAGCAACCTAAGAGAACTCTGTAGGGATAATGATGTTACTTTATGGTGGATTCCAGGTAACAGAAAGAATGAGAAGGACAAGCTGGCCAGAGAGGCAGCGAAAACATCCTTTCTCTTCAAAACGCGTTCTGCTGTCTCTGGCCAACCTGGTACAATGCGCTTTACGGATCTTGACCTATACAAACTGCGACGCTAGAGTGAGAAACTCTAGTTGTGAAAAGAGATACAAGACATTACAATTTAAATGTCCATCCTGACAATAACAAACCAGCGTTCAAGGTCATAAAAAATGGCAGCCCTACATCAAAGGTGCCGACACGAAGCGACTCATCTTGTTTACTCTTTAATCTTTGCCATTGCTATTCTTTTAACCACATTTGTTTGTCACAGACATATACAGTAATCCCCATTCCGTCCTCGATCGTCCAATGTTTGTAAACTTTGGCATGTTTATGCTTACATACGTGAAAATATTATTCATTAGTTCGTGTATTAACTTCTAACAAATTCAGGTTTTATACGTGATTAAGCGATGGTATTTTCACCTACATATACACTGTGTTAATTATCGTACCCGACGTCATCATTGCAAGTATGCAACCGATATCACAGTATTGGTATTGCTATACGCGACTTGCGTATTTGGTTCCATACTTGCAATGATGACGTCGGATACGATAATTAATTAACACACTGTATGTAAATCTTCAATAGCTATTTGACAGATCTGTTAGTTTAACCCTGTTAAACTCCGCAAAATGGGAGACTCTGCTGGTTTTCTGTGCATCACTGTTCCTCGTAAACGAAATCATTTTACCCAACGTGAAATGGTGTTCGTCTCGAAAAATAAAATTGGCTACGAAACTCACACTGAACCTCAACGAGATTCGACTAAATCGATGACATCGACTAAACAAAATGGCAGGAGGGGCAGGAGATACCAATCACGTTACCACATAAGTCTCCACCAATGCTAGTACTTGAGCCTGAATACTATTTGTTTTAAAAACGTCCGTCCGTTCTGCCCCACCCTGTATAAGAGCCAAGAACGTACTTTGTACGCCTTGTATTTTAGATCGTTGTCTTGGAAGAATTTTGGTTCATTATTCCCTCGATGAAATGCAAGCATCCTGGTCCAGGTGCTGAAAATTACCCTCACATCATCACATATCCGCCACCATGTTGCACAGTGGTTCTTAAATTTTTTTTTTTTTTTTGCCATCTGACCCAAAAATATTGTATTTACTTTCATCAGTAAATAGAACGGTTTTTCAAGAGAAAAATTTTTATTTTCGTGCTCTTTCGCAAATATTAATCTGATGTTTTGATTCTTTTTACTGATTAACGTCTAGACATTTCGAATAAAAACCTAGATTTCCGCGCGAATAATACAAAAAAGTCAATTAGGGAATTCCCCTTGTCTACTGTTAAAGCGTCTACATGAAATTATTTATAATTTTTATTTATGACTGCCTTAATTTAGTTTTTGTACTGTTTTCGTTGATTTTTAAATTTTTTTTTGAAAATGTAATTAATAATAATAAATTACTGAAAATCAATTTATTTTCCAATTAATTTTTTTTTCCTAGCTGTTTTAGATTAAATATTTTTTAGTAAGAAAGTATTTTTACTCTACTGTCCGAGTTTGGCTTGATGCCACTGTACTTCATTATAATTTATTTTATTTTTCTTTTTAATTAGATAATGCAATACCAATAAAATCATGGTTTTCGGATCCATCGGACGTGGCGTTATTAAATCTGTTGCCGGTGTTAGACGCCTTACGTTTTACAGCGGATGTGCGGTCCGTGCTGTCGCGGAATCTTCACCTGCACAGACTCTGGTAGTAGAGACAGGTTAGTTATTGGCCCTTGGAACCCAATTGTAATCGGCATTTTTTTTCTCTTGTTTCCATTTGTGCATTACAACAGCCAGACGGTAAAGGATACCGGTACGGTAAACGGCCACCATGATGCCGGTAATGCTACTGTAGCGTTGAAAGTGGGCCTAGGCGGTGGTGTTGGTGGTATTGGTTGCGTTGTTGTTGGCCCCTCCGTTTGTGAGGGAAATGTTAACGCCGTCGCGATTAAGAACTGCGATGAGGAGGTTAATCACTATAACGGCCTAAAGGGTCTTAAATGTGATTGAATTAAAGAGAAAAAACAATAAATGAAAATGAACTCAGAAAAAAAAACGTTTTCAAATGAATTTTTATAACGCCGTTTAGCAAAAAGTAACTAAATAGTAAGATAAAACGTAAAATTGGTGCTCAGTATCGTTTCGTATGTGTCTACAAATAGAAATTTTTGTTAAGTTTTAATAAAATAAAGTCAAATTTGCAAAGGATTAAAAAATAAGCGTAAATCTCAATAAAATTATTGACTAAAAAAAATGTTAGGTTTGCAAAGGATTGAAAATTTATGAATTATCTATTCAATATTTGATTTTCACACTAACAACTAATTTATTTATAAAAATTTTAGCGTGACATAAAATTTATATTATCGAAAATTTGATTTTGTGTCTGAAAAGAAATTCCTGTTTACAACTAAGGTGCATATTTAAAATAGAATTGCTGTTTCAAAACTTGGCAAAGGTTTATATCCAATTTAATTTTTTTATCATTGTTTTTGGCTGAAAATCATTATTGAATTAAGCAATACATATAAACTAAACGAAAGCCGTATTTTTATTTGTGTATTTTTAAAACATTTCTCATCCATAAAATATCTATTTTTCATGTATAGCGTTGATTGTAATACGACGACAGTAAATAAAACTGTGTGAAGCAGTACTACTGTCTTCGGAATAAGCGATCAAAAGGTATTTGTGTACGCCGCATAACCCCTCTTAAAAATAATACACCTAAAACTCATTCGTATTTTATTGCAGAAAAAAATTGGAACATGACGAGGATGAAGAAGAGACCTGTTTTTTTTGCCTCGGCAAAACCATTTTTTAAGAACACTTTTTATTACGTACCTGTGTGAAAGAAGCAATCGAACGAACGTTAATGATGGTGATGAAGAAAATGTTATAAAGTTCTTGTTGTTTGTTGTTTGCGGAACATGATAATACGAAAAGTGTGTTTAGAATGAACACTTTTTCTTTTTTGTTTTATTTTTTTTTTTTTTTTACTGTTAAACGCGACACGAACGAACGACCGACTCGAAACGTAAAAAAAACGGAACCCAACGTCGATTGTGATCTCTTGTTGCTTGTAAATAATTACAATATACAGAAATAATAAAGAAAAACTGTACAATAAGATATTGAAGAATAATCTTTACTTTTACATGTATTTATGGACCTTTATTCTTTTCACATATCCTTCATATCCTTATTACTAAGATAGATGGAAAGTTCAACCTTTTGTTTGGAAGAAATATAGAACACAAATAGAATCTGGGCATTATACCAGCAAATATTACTTAAAATGGATTAAGTTGTATCACAGAAATCAAGTTTGTGTTAAATTGGTACATTTTTTTGAGACGTTTTATATATTCTGAGAATATTGCTGCAGATGAAAGTGAACACAAATAAAGCAAAACAATAAACACGAACAAGAAAGTGAATATATATAGTGACAGGAAATGTGTGTTCCACAAGAAGTTCCTTCGCAAATTAAAATAGAAATTACCTTACATAACATGCATTATATAAACCAAAAAAGATGTTGAACTCCTGGAGGAAATTTTCAAAGTCAAAGTGTAATCCCTACGGCCCGGCGGAAGTTTTCAAGGTCAAAATGCAACCTCAGTGTTCATGAAGAAAATTCTCAAGGTCAAAGTGTAACTGCTGTTTAGAGGAAATTCTCACGATCAAAACGTAACCTCGGCAGCCTCAGAGGAAATGCTCAAGGTCAAAGTGTAACCTTGGCGCCCCTAGAGGAAATTCTCAAGGCCGGCATGTAACCTCGGTGGTCCTGAAGGGAATTCTCAATATCAAAGTGTTTCTGCAGCAAATTCTCAAGGCCAACATCTAACCATGGTGTTCCTTGAGGAAATTCTCAAGATTAAAGTGTAACCTCGGTGGTCCTGGAGGATATTCTCAAGATCAAAGTGTAACCTTGGTGGTCCTGGAGGAAATTATTCAGGTTAAAATGTAACCTCGGTATTCCTGGAAGAATTGATCAAGGTCAAAGTGTCAAACCTTGGAGTTCCTGGAAGAAATTCGTCAATTGGCAAATAGATACGAAACTTGTATTAATAAAATAATGAGTGTTTTCTACATTCCATAATGTTGTATCTGAATCAAAGACACCACCTTGTAATCCATTCTCAACAAGAAATTTAATCCCGTTAAATATTGTGATTTCGGGATCAATGGTTTTTATTTAAATTTTTCTTCCGATATTAACAGTATGATATTAACAGCCCAGGACGCTAGACAATTGCCTATTGGATAATTCGGCGGTAGATATAAACCTTCAATTATTTATTGATTTGGATCATGTAAATAACGCAAAACTTCTTCTTCCACTTGTTTTAGACCTGTTGGTTTGTAGAAATCTGAGTTCGCAGCCGAACTGTTTCTTAAGATGTGGACTTCCAGTTGTCTTTTTATCTTTTGTGTGGTTATCCTGGTGTTTGAGTTTGCTTCTTCCTTCTTTTACTGAGGAATTGCGTATTAGTATTGCTTATTAATTATAAAGTTTTACACCTCACATATCTATAGTAGTCTATCTGCTAGCTGTAGCTATAACACAACTTAATCTAAATAATAATATACTGAATATTTTTTTCCCAATTTATTTTTGATGTTTTTACATCTTACTTATTCTTAAGAAATAAAGAAGATTGAACTATTTCCGGTGCGGATTGCGTTCTAACAGCATCGTAAGTATCATTTGTACAATCACTACTTTGCGTAAACGTTTCCGAAAATTTTTTCTCAATAAAATCCAACCGTAACAAATCGATATTCATACTTCCATCGCCATTCGTGTCGTCTTTTTCTTTACAAGGACGTTCTTCCGTTGAAATCTTCATATTTTCCGCTATCTCAAAATCATTTTTAACGGACTTTATCTTCGCCGTTCTCGGTTTCTCTTCAAACTGATACAAATCTAGCGTTTCCGTATTTCGATCTGTATTTTTCGATCGCAATTTTTGTTCGGATTTTGATTGTTTCCTATCGTGACCGGGTAATTTTGAATGTTCACCGCTTGTATCCTTTTCAATTTGAGTTTCACTGCGCGTTTTATGATTAATGTATTTTAATTTGCTGTTAGTTTCTAATTGAATTTCTAACATCCGGTGTTTATCCATTTCTAAATTGAGTTTATCCAATTCGAGACGTAAACATAAGTTTTCATGTGCTAAAGTGCTATTTTGCTTAACTATCTACAAATCATCGAAATTATGTTTAAATAAAAATAAATACAATTGTTGTTTTTATGGGTATGTGACCTGTAAGTATTTTTTATTGCTTGGTGGGATTGGGATTAATAATTTTTGATCGACTATGTTTCCAAGTTCGGTTTTTAATTGTTCCATTTGTATTCTTAATTCCGAGATGGTCTAAAAAAGAAGAAAAATGGATTTATAAATTGTAAATTTTAAATGTTTTTTGTTTCTTTTTTGATAATTACACACATGTTCGTGTAAAGTTTCTAATTTCTTCAATCGATTCTTAATACAATATTTAGTATTTTTCATTCGCAAAAACTTTATACTTAAGTTATAATTAGCTTCCAAAGTTTGGGTTAGCGTATCCTTTAATTTCGCTATTTCCTTTTTATAATGTTCAATTTGCGTTTTATAATCGCCAACTTTTAAAGTTTTTTTCAATTTCTTACAATCGTTCATTTCTTGGCAATACACTTCCTTCTCCTTATAATAAAATTCCCTTTCGTCCTCTAATTGTTGCTTAAGCGTTGAATTAGTACGCTGTTGCTTCTTCAAATCGGCGGCTAATAATTCTTTTTCTTTCGATAAATTCTCAATTGTAACCTCTTTCTTTATCGTTTCATTTTGCATCGAATCAACAGCCGTTTGTAAACTTCCGATTTGTTTTTTTAACATTTCTAATTCCGCTTCAACATTTAAACTAGGTTTCGAAGATTGCCGTGGGGGTTCTTTTTGACCTTCCATTGGACGATTCCGTTTTTCTTCTTCAATAATTGATGTCGTTTTCGATGATTTAGATAAAACACGTTTTAAAATTTGTGTAGGATTCGTTCTTAATTTGCTTCCGCCGAAAGTTTTCGTCATCAAAACATACCAGTTTTCTTTGGTTTGTCAGCGAAATGAAACGAACACGTCATATTCCATTTCTTTTTGACATTTTGTTTGACGGGAAATTTGAAGGACGGTGGAATCTAAGAGGACTACATCCTGGGAACAGATGCACAGTTCGACGGACCGTTCGTGACGTCATGCGTGGTTAGGCAACCACTATTTCACATTTTAAATTAACAAAATTCTTAATTTATTCATGTTTTGTAATGTTGTTAGTTTGAGACTTTAAGGTTTATGATATGTGCGTCTCTTAAGACAGTAAACCTGAATATTTCTAGTTCCTAAGTAATAATTTAAACAAGAACTAGAAAGTTTCGCGTTTTCATCCCTGTATTAATCTGTCATATGGAGGTATTTTACTTTTATATTGATTCTAATTCTTTACAAACACACTTTGTGAACAAAAAAATAATTTTGATTGGATGGATTTTTCATTGTTTAAGACAGATATGCACATTTTTATTTATGATAATAGATTGCTACAAAATATATTCACATAAAATCTCCACAAAAACTCATTTATTACCTATTTTTCTGTTTTTATCAATAATGCCTTAATATAAAACAATCATACAAAATACCCTTCTTATCAATATTATTTTGTTATGTGTTTCACTATGTGTTTTTTTAAATCTGGCATTGTTTTCGGAACAAAATCACACTTGTGACATTTCAATGGAGTGTCCATTAGCCGTTTGCAATATTCTGTTGAAAATACTTTTACTTTTCCATGTTTTTCCACATCTTCCAATATTACTACAAAAAGAAATTTGTAAATTATTGACCAATAAATAAAATCAAGGGCAACTTACGTTTAGAATCCATTAAAAATTCAGTTGTAAAACTATTCCAGTGTTTCTTTGTTTTTAAACAAGGCGAATTCATATCATCACTAATAACGTGCATATGTAACCTTGCCATGCTCGCTTCTGCATGATAACCCATTTTAAAACATCGACTTTTATGTCTTGGTTCATCAACCAATTGTTGGGCGATGTTATGCATGTACTTTAATAATCCTGCATGAGACTGATCGACGGCTTTTAAACTATTAATATCTTCACGCGGAATTATAAGGTAATGAAATTCCGCCTTCGGAAACTTATCTTTTATAACAACCAACTTGGGATTCGATTGTACTATTAGTTCAGGATCTTCCATAGCGCTTAACAACCCATTTTGCCAATGACCGTTACTTTTCACCTTTTTACCATTATCACTGTCTTCGCCAACAACGCGTTTTCGTTTTCCTGACATCGTACACAAAGAAAACTTGGATAAAATTTGTTTGAAAACAATGATTTTTGAGGTTAGGTGGTTTGTATGTGTCGTTAAAATCCAGGTGTCAACTAGAAGCGTTCAGATATTAATAACGGCTTGTTATTCTCAGATTAATTATTAACAAAAAAAATAATGTTATTTTTGTTTATTTATTTAAGTTTTTATAATATTTTGTTGATATTCTAAATATTATTGGAGTTTTACAAAAAAAATAATAAATTCAAAATAATATTAGGAACCGTTCAGAAATACGAATGAATTTTGAGGTTATGATTGATTAAAATCCCATTGGGTTTTGGACGTTTTGGAGTTCGAGTGGTCCGAACTGACATTCATTAGATAATATGAGAACGATGAGAACCCTCGGTGACATGCCGTTATCACAGTAGAATGCCTGCAGATGTAACATATTCAAATAACATTCAAATATACATATCTCAAATGAGGCGATGGCTACCAAAGATACCAGGTTAATTGGTAAATATAAATGATTCTTAAAAAGACCTGCAAATAGTTTATATCTTATTTATAATATCTTGGACAGGCAAAAAAGATATGTTCTTTAATTCTAATTTTAAACAGATAGGTGGGACATAGCGCATGTCCTATTCTCAGTCTAGTAATGAGAGTGTACAACTGGCGTGATACAAAGGCAATTTTTTTGGCACATAGCGTACCTAATCCCTTTAGTTGAGCTGTTTCTAATCCACTCTTATTCCCATTGATGTCATCAATATCTTGCCAATATAATTCTTTTCCACAGATTTTTACTCTTCCAGCATTCTGGCGTTATATTCCATGGTGTGCATGTCATGTATTTGTTTTTTGTATAAATTTGGGATATCAGGCTTGAGTTTTGAGTAGATTTTAGCAATCAAAACCCTGTCTAGTCTTTTGATCACTCGACAATCAATTATACAAAGACTTCTAATCAGAAATCTTGCTCTAACTTCAATAGATGTTTCAGCTCCTTCAATCGTTAACGCATTTGTTGGTGAAGATCTCAGGGCACCCAGTATAGCTCTATAAGATTCATAGCATGTTACCTGAAGTTTGTTCAAAATAATTTTGGTATCCGCAACTTTGAAATTATAATTCCTACTTTTCTTTAACTACTTTTTTAATCTTTGAATAAACAATGAAAAAGTAAGTTATTATATATAATTTTTAATTTTAAAACCGAATTAAAACGCGAACAATACAACAATATAAAACTATCAATGTTTATCTTTGCTTTTTGATTTTCGTTGCTTCTTACATTGGTGTTTAACTTCACATTCAGACAAACATTTCTTTAATTCCTCACAAGATTTCTGTTTCTTTTTTTTCTTTTTGTTATTTCCCGAATTCATAAGAACCTCATTAGAAAAATTTACTCTATTCTTAGCTGGGCATGGTATTTGTACGCTTTCTTTACTAGCAATGCTTTTAGTGCTCTTAGATTTATGTTTGTGACGTCCTTTCTTCGTATCATGCGTTTCAAGTAAATCCGTTTTTTTCTTGACGAAGAGTTGTTCGATAAAATTTGGCATGTTAAAAGGTTTTTTAGGGCTGGCTTTCATTATTTCATATGTTAAATATTTTTGAAATTCTGTTATTTTTACTTGAGCGTAAGTTACGGTTTGAGGTTGTTCAGTTCCATGTGTATGTCCATCGCAAAGACCTAAGGATAATGAAAAAAATGAGAAAATAATAAGAACGTGGAAAATATTTGGAAACATTACCATCGGTACAAACTCCAACAACAGGTTGCACAACCGGGATGGATAGTCGGCTTTTGCGATCAATTATCGTTTTTTTAACCAGTTGTTCAAAACCACAAGGTAAACCCAAAAATAATTTTGAACTTTCAGCTATATTTTATGAAATTGTTAAAAAAACTATCAAAATTAATTATTAATAAAGTACCTAGACGGGAATGTTTTGAAGAAACAGGAACGGAACGAAAATCAATTTTTGATTTTTTACCTAAAAATAAAAGTAAATTAATTAGTGATAAAATATATAGAAAATGAACGTTTATAATTTTTTTCAATACAACTACAAAAATTCCTTTATAAGCTTGAAACCCCTGCAACTTTTGATTTTCAGATATTATCAGCTTTTTGTTGTTGGCAATACAGTCGCAGGGGCGCTGCTGCTTATGCTAGAAATGATCTGCTGCTGAAACCCAACAAATTGTCGAACAACGCATAAAATGTGTTAAACTGGAAGCTAAAGTTAGTAGAGTATTTGCAGTTTTACACATTTTGCCACAATCCACACCTCAACCTAAATACATATATTTGCACTACACCCATATTCTCTACGATGTCTAGCTTCCGCAGACTTCCGCCTTGTACAACTATAGACGGTACTAAAATACCCAGATGCGCAACACCTCAAAATGTTAAGACTAGACAAGTATCAAAAGATGCCATAGATTGTTAGAACATTTTGGCAACAATGGAAATAAGAATATTTGCTCTAAATGGAAGCGACGGATGAAGATAGAAGATGAGAAACGAGAAGACAAGATGGGAATAATTTTGCAAGTCAACTCAGGTCAAGGTAGTACAATGCCACCATTTTACCTATTTAAGTGTATTTTGAAAAATGTGATATTTTAAGATGAACTCGTATTAAAATTTTTCTCCATATACTTAAATATTTCATCATTATTGTATTTACTTGATTTTGAAGATTTCTCCCCAACCATTTTTTCAGATGACCCCGAATTTGACTTTGATTTAGTTTTAGCTACCTTCTTGCGCTTCTTTTCTGCTTGTTTTAATTCTTTTTCTCGCTTTTTCTCTGCATAATTATTAAAAATAAAGAAAAACGTATTTTTTTGTTTTTTAATTTACCTTCTTTGATTTGTAGTTTCCTTTCGTTTTCTACTTCTTTACCTATAATATAAACATTAAATTTAAAATGAAGCAAAATTGATAAAGTTACATACAAGTTTCTGGACAAACTTTTCCATTAATATTCGTCATTACATGTCGAAGTTTATTTTCGATATTACGTAAAAGACTACACTCGCAGCCTTTGTATTGGTCAGTAAATTGAGCAATCATCTTTTGCAAAACTTGACATTCCGTACATGGAGAGTCTTTGCATTTATTGTCATCAGATCCACTACTATCCGTGGTAGAATAATTTTTAGATCCTTTTGATGCGCACGATGCGGTACAAGAATAAGTCGTACATATATCATCCTCCTCTTCTATTTCATCGCTTTCAAATTCTTCAACAACTTTCTTCGTTTTAGCGACAACCTCTTTTTTACTTTTCTTCTTTTCATGTTTTAATTTTTTTGTTTCAGTTGAATCATCCGTATTGGTTGTAAAACTCGTACATTTTATCTCAGTTTCCATAGCTTGAGATGGCGAACAAACTGGTAATAAATGAGTTTGAACATTTTGCTCATTTGGAGGTAAAACAAATCCTGTATGTGGTGCATGAACTACAGTATTAGTTAGCGTATGTGATGGATGAATTTTATTTTCATTTGGCTTATGATGATCTGTATGGATAATAATTTCTGTTGTAGTGGGATGCTCTGCATGTGGTGGTTGCATTATGTTTTCTATTGGAGTATGAGGCACTGTGTGTGGTGGGTGAGCTATATTTTCAGTTGGATGATCTTTATGGATAATAATTTCTGTTGTAGTGGGATGTTCTGCATGTGGCGGATGAATTATCTTTTCTATTGGAGTATGATTCACTGTTTGTGGTGGGTGAGCTATATTTTCAGTTGGATGATCTTTATGGATAATAATTTCTGTTGTAGCAGGATGCTCTGTTGGTGGTGGGTGAGCTATATTTTCAGTTGGATGATCTTTATGGATAATAATTTCTGTTGTAGCAGGATGTTCTGTTTGTGGTGGGTGAGCTATATTTTCAGTTGGATGATCCTTATGAATAATAATTTCTGTTGTAGTAGGATGCTCGGTTTGTGGTGGGTGAGCTATATTTTCAGTTGGGTGATCTTTATGGATAATAATTTCTGTTGTAGCAGGATGCTCTGTTTGTGGTGGGTGAGCTATATTTTCAGTTGGGTGATCTTTATGGATAATAATTTCTGTTGTAGCAGGATGCTCTGAATGTGGCGGATGAATAATGTTTTCAGTTGCAACCTGTGGAGTGTGATTTATATTTTCAGTTGGAATATGATGATCTGTACGGATTACAATTTCCTCTGTAACAGGGTGTTCTATATGAGGTGGATGAATTACGTTTTCAGTTGGAATATGAGATTGGGGATGTGAACTATAGTGACCTGTATGTGGTCCTTGAATAGGATGTTGAATATGTGGCATATAATGACTTGTATGTGGAGCGTAAATAGGATGTTGTGGATAACCTAAATATCCAGGTGGAATATTATATTGAGGATGCATAAACATAGGATGTGGTTGTAAATCATGTTCTCGATTTCTTATAGAAATCGGTTCATGAGCTAACTTAATATGACCACAAACGTCAAGTTCATCGCTATCATATGGATGCTTTTGTCTTTGTATTTCCGTGGTTGCTGAAGTCTTTCTTGGACGATGCCTACAAATATCAACATCTTTATCGTTTATATCATCATGGCAAATAAAATGTCCATCTTTATCAATGCAAATATATTGATGTTTCTTAGCTATTTCTTCTAAAATTTTTAGTTCCGTTATTTCCGAAGATTTCCTTGCAGAATGACCGCAAACATCGACATCTTTATTATTGAAGGTGTCATGACAAGTAAATCGCCCATCTTTATCGATGCAAACGTATTGGTGTTTTTTTGAATCATTTTTTATTTTTGATGGTTCATCTTCAATTTCTTTTTCTTTTTTAATAATTATCACTTCCTCATCTTTTATTATCTCCCCATGTTTATCTTTTACTATTACCTCTTCCTTATCTATTGTAATTACCTCATCTTTATTTATTATTACTTCCTCTTGTTTATCTATTGTAATTACCTCGTCTTTATCTCTTATTATTTCCTCTTCTTTATCTTTTATTATATGCACTTCATCATCTTGTATTATTATCGTTTCACTTTGACCATCGTTTGATGGAACAATAATTTCAATTGTTTCCCCACCTTCATCTGTTTTATTATCCAAACTTAATTCCGTCGCAGGTTTCTCATCATCCACCGATAGTTTTGAAAGAGCTTTATGATGAAGTTTCGACGTAGGTTTCTCATCATCCACCGATATTTTTGAACGAGCTTTATGATGAAGTTTCGTCGTAGAACAAATACCTTCCTTACAAACATCTTTTTTCACACTACTTAATTTCTTCTCCATTTTAGCTAAACGTTCTTGTTCCTTTTCCATTTTAGACTTCCATTTAGCTTCTTTTTTTCGTTCCTTCTCATAGTCCTTCTCTTTTTTCTTCGCCGCTTTCATTGCCGCTTTAATTTCTTTTTCATTTTCTTTCAAATCCTGTTCAATTCGTTTTCTTTCATCCGCTCGTTTTTTACGTTCCAATTCATAATTGAGCGCCATCAGATCTTCGTCGTCCGATTTCGTTAATTTATTATCAATAGAATCTGAGAGTCTAGTTCCATTTTCTTCCATTTCATCATCTTTCGATTGAGTAACAATTTCTATATTATCCCCATCGTCATCATCAAGAATAATAATATCTAAATTCGCGTCAGATTTAGGACGTGAATCTGTGTCATGTGCAGTACAAACAGCATCATCACAAACGTAAGGTTCTTCAGTTTTCTTTGAAAGACGTTTTTGTTCTAATTTTGTTATGCGATCTTGTTTTGTATCGATTTTAGTCCTCCATTTCGCTTCTTTTTTCATTTCCTTAACTTCCTCTTTTTCTTGTTTTTTCATTACTTTTTGGGTTGCTTTAATTGCTTTTTCACTTTTTTCGATTTCTTTTTCGATGTGTTTTCTTTCGGCCGCTCGTTCTTTGCGTGCTTCTATTCGTTCGCGCCTTTTTAATTTAATCTCTTCCTTGCTAAGACAACAATCGGGAGTTCGTTCACGACGCCATCTTTCTGCATCTTCAGGTCGATTCTCTTGTTTACGTAGTAATGATCCTTCAAACATTCTATGTTTTTCATCCGGTAAAAGGCAACAATAAGGTTTTGATGGTGTTTCTTTAACTCGTTTTCCATTTAATTCCTTTACTATGCGGTCTTCACCAATGATTTCTCCAATAACTTTAGCATCATTAGTTTGACTAGATGTTGAATTTATCCTGTGGATTTCACCGGATTGTGATGAATCTTGTTCGGATTCTGAATGATGTTTATATGATTTTGAGTGCTGCTTTTTATCATAACCAACCGGAGTTATTACAACTCTTCCATCGCTTTCTGAATAAATCCGATAAATACTCCCTTTCGAATCTATTTCACTTACATCTTCAGAGGAAGAAAAATGTTTGCGAATTGGTCTTGGTAGACTCGCACCAGATGGGATATAAAAATCGTCTTGTTCAACATTAGTTGGCTCACTTTTATGATCGAAAGGTTCAATTTCATCATTAATAACAACTTTTGATTTGCGTTTAATAACAGGTTCTGCTTGATCATCATTTATGATTATGTTAGGTTTTTTTTCTTTATATTCTGGAGTTAAGCAACAAAAATTATCATCTCTAATGATTTTTGCAGGTTGTGGTTCATCTTCTTCATCTGCTCCTTTAGCACAACATGATGATAATGAAAATTTTTTCGTTGTTTTCACCCCGGTACGTTTCTCTTCCATTTTCGCCCTCCATTTAGCTTCAAGTTCTCGTTCTTTGGCATCTTCCTGTTTTTGTTTTAGAGCCGATTTTTTTGCTGCGGTAATTCTTTTTTCACTAGCTTTAACTAATTTTTCAGTTTTTTGTCGTTCGCGTGATCGTTGTTTCCGCGCCACCGATCTTTCACGTCTCTTCAACTTAATCTCCTCTTTGCTTAAACAACAATCGGGTGTTCGTTCTCTCCGCCTTTTTGCTAATTCTTCAGGAGTGAGACAACAATCGGGTTTTTTATTAATATTTTTTCTTGACTCATCGGCCATTTTTAAAATTTCTCCCGGTTTCAAGCAACAATAAGGTTTTGAAAACTCTTCAACTACAATTTTCTTCTTTTTCTTCTTTCGCTTCCTTTTTTCTTTCTTCTTTTTCACGGGGTAGGGATAATGTTCGTCGTCAAGCATTGTGCAACACCCGCTTGCATCGCTTTCCATACCTAAACAATTAGGGTCTGTACATCCGTGTATTCCATGCAAGATACAAATATCCCTATCTTCTAATTCTTCTGATGTTAGACAACATTCAGGTCTAATGCAAGCATATTGACCGTGTATTTGGCAAATGCGATCCGCAGGAATAAGATCGTCGCCAGAAAAAATGTTGCTATTGTAATTGTTGTTTGAAAATAATTCTTCTGTTGGAACTTCATAGGAAATAACTTCATCGTGAGTTGGTTCTTGAAATCTTAAATTATTCGGTTTTAAATCTTGATGAATCACCTCGTCTTTGCGCACTATCTTAACAGATACTTCATCTTTTCGCTCAGAAAATTTTTCATTATGGTGAATCACGTGATGTTTATCATCTTGCTTAAGATGTTCTTTAGCTTCCTCTTTTTTAATAATAATCTCCCGGTGTTCTTTTTCTATAGGTTCAGGTACTAAACAACACGAATTATTGTCTCCAACGATATGCTGAGGTCTTTCTATATTACTTTGTATATTCTCTTGAACATTGTTTTGTATACCAATTTGTATGATTTCACCTTTGTTGCTACAACAAGGTTTCTTTTTAAAACTACTTCCATATTTCTTTTCCATTTTAGCCCTCCATTTAGCATCAATTTCTCTTTCTTTAGCATCCTGTTGTTTTTGTTTTAACGCCGCAGCTTTTGCATCTTTAATTTTTTTGTCGCTCGTTTTAATTAAAGTCTCAGTTTTCTTTCTATCTGCAGATCGATGTTTGCGAGCAACTTTTTGTTCCTTTTGTTTCAACTTAACCTCTTCTTTACTCAAACAACAATTAGGTGTTCGTTCTCTTCGCCTCATTTCTAGTTCTTCGGGTGTAAGACAACAATCGGGTCTTTTATAAACATCGTTCCTAGTTTCACCGGCCATCCTAATTATTTCACTAGGTTTAAGGCAACAATAAGGTGTTGTTGGATCTACTTTAACTTTTTTTTTCTTTCTTCTCCTCTGTTTCTTTTCTTTCTTTTTCTTCACCGGGTAGGGATAATGCTCATCGTCAAGCATAATACAACAATCCGCGTGATGTTCGTCTTCTAAACAACCGGGGTCGGTACATCCATAAACTCCATGTAAAACACAAGCTGTACGCGATTCTAATTCTTCTTGTGTTAGGCAACATTCGGGGCGAACGCATTCATATTGACCATGTAATTGACACACACCTTCTTCTCGAACGTTATCATCATGATGAATCTCAGTCTGATAATGATCGTTCGCAAAATGAACACCATGAATAGATTGGGTTTCGTGAGTTGGTTCTTGAAATCGCAAATCATCGTATTTACCATGATTATGATCTGGATATGGATGAGGTTGAGGATGTGGATGTGGATGTAGATTAGGTTGAGGATATGGATTAGGATGTTGATAAGGTTGAGGATGTTGATAAGGTTGAGGATGTTGATAAGGTTGAGGATGTGGATAAGGTTGAGGATGTGGATAAGGTTGAGCATGTGGATAAGGTTGAGAAAATTGATGATGTTGAGGATGAGAATAATATTCAGGATTAGGATGAGAATGGTGATGTTGATCATGTCCACAAGCAAGATCGTGGTGCCCAACATTTTCTGTAGTTTCTTTTTGGCCAGGTGCTTTACAACACACTGGAGAATTTGAAAGCAGTCCTATTGTAGATATTATTGGTTGTCCTGACTTGGATTTCTTAACTAATTTCGTGTATTTTCTAGTCATTTTTTCCGCAGCCTTTTTCTCGGCTTTTTCTTCGCTGGTCATGCAACAGGGTTTTTTATGTAAATAGCTGGGTTCGTCTTCTTGTTCACCACAACTTCTCATGGTGGCTTTTTTAGCGCGATCATCGTGCGATAAACAACAATCAGGTTTGTTTAATCGTAACATTTCACGAATTCTCCATTCTCTATCTTCAACAGATAAACAACATTCTTTTTTGCATAACAATTCCATGTCTCTTTTCAATTTTACCAATTCACTCTGATCTTTACAACAGTCTGCAAGACAGCAATCATTTTTCATATCACCTTTCTTCTTCTTCTTCTTCTTTCCTTTTTTCTTTTTCTCTTTTTTAGTCTTTTTAGTTTTTCTCTCATCTGAGCTTCGGCAACATTCTGGAACTTTGGTTTTAGCAGAGAAAGCCCAAATACTTTTGAAAAGTACATTATTTTCATTCGTGGTTGTTTGTCTTAAATAATTCAACCCATCACTACTATCAGATTTAACTGATTCAACAAGATCTTTATCACTTCTTATAAGATCAGATTCGTTTAATAATCCGCATAAGTCGATTGCCGTTTGAAGTCTTGATAACATGAACTGATTTTTATTGCTTTTAATTTCTTTGTTACTGAATAAAACTTTATCTTTAGGTATTAAATGTAACGGTAATAACTCAAAGTCTGGTTCTTTAAAATTTGGGTTAGCAACCAATTTTAACCCGGTATGTTGAGGCATTTTCGAAATTTAAATATATCCCGCGCAATTTTATACGAAAATCTATAAATTTTGATCTATAATAAGCTTGTCAAATGATTTGGCAGATTAACAAAATGTCAAAACAAAATTTAAACTTTTTTATTAGAACGAAAGAACCACATTTTTAGAATCCAATTCGCGCAAAAATAGCAAATTGGGCTAAATCTCTTCTTCTATTTTTATATTTATTATAATTAATTATAATAATAATAATTATAACAATTTGACAAATGTCAAAATCCTGCATATTGATTACCAACATTTAAAAAATTAATTTTTTTTAATTTGAAAATACTAATCTAATTCATATTAATAATGTTTAAAATGTGATTAAAATGATTTAAAAATCTTATTCTAATGCTTTTTTATAGCGTACATCTAAAGTATCAATTCACATCAAAAAAAATTTGAGGTTAGGTTTTTGACAATTTCAAAAAGTATTAAAAAAACGTGAGTCCGTGCGATGTGTAAACGTTGTAAACATGTGTAGCGTTAAATTAATACGATAATAAACCATAAAGCACATTCATGCATGTCGCTAGGTAGATTAGGGTTAAACGTCTTAAAGAAATTGTCCCAAAATTCCACGAGAAACACCATCACCTCGTTTCGGTTATTTAGCAAAGACACGATGACGAAGAAAAGAGCAAGTAAAGTTAATTCGGGCTCTCGAATTTCAACGGCTTCCGCTAAGTCTGTACAATTGAAAAATTATATCACATTGAATACTCCGATTAAAAGCGCGAGTGATAATAAATCGTACAGGGTAATTAGGTTAGAAAATGGTTTAACAGCTTGTTTAATTTCTGATTTAACGGAAGATGTGGATTTAAATAAAAAAGCTGAAAGCGATTCAGAGTCGGAATATGAAACAGATTCGGAAGGTGACGACGATGCAGGGCCAATATCTGATTTAGAAGCAAGCGAAAGTGAACATGAAGGACCAAAAATGAAGAAAGTTTCTAATGTTGAGCAAAAAATGGCTGCAGCGGCTTTATCAATAAACGTGGGTAGTTTTAGTGATCCGTTAGAGGTTCCTGGTTTGGCACACTTTTTAGAACACATGGTGTTTATGGGGAGTAAAAAATATCCTAGGGAGAACGAATTTGATTCCTTCATCAAGGTTTTTAGATTTTCTTATGTTGTATTATGTTTTATTTAAAGTTAATTATTTTTTAGAAAAGAGGTGGTTCTGATAATGCTTCAACTGATTGCGAATTGACAACATTTCATTTTGAAACAATGGATAAACATTTATTTAATGGCCTTGATCGTTTTGCCCAATTCTTTATTGATCCATTAATGCATAAGGAATCAATGACACGTGAAAGAGAGGCCATTGAATCTGGTAATAAAACAATTATTTATTTTTAAACAAAACTAAACCAATTTTAATATTTGTATCCATCTTGCAAGTTAATTAAGTATTAATAAAACGACAATAACTTCTTCTTTAACTTCCTGACTTTTTAACTTCTATTTATTAACATATATGGGACTAGTTTCGGGCTAAATGCTCATCTTCAGCCAAATTTATACACATAACATAGAAAACATTATACAAAAACCCAATTAATATGATCATTGCTTATTTACTATCAAAAAGGAACTAATGGTAAAACTATCTTGGTTAAATTCTAGTAAAATTTTAATAAAATAGCAAAAAGAATAGCAAAAAAAGAAGTTTTTGTCGTTTTATTAATAAACTAACTTTGTTTTAAGAATTCCAAATCGCTCTGCCGTCCGATAATTTTCGCAAGGAACAACTTTTAATGAGTCTTTTTAACCCGGAAGTACCAATTTGTACTTTTTCTTGGGGAAATTTAAAAACACTGAAAGACAATATTAACGATGATGATCTTTATCTGAGATTACACGAGTTCCGGAAACGACATTATTCCGCTCATCGGATGACTTTAGCCATACAAGGCCGATTTTCGTTGGATACTTTACAATCGTTTGTCTTAAATTGCTTTTCAAATGTACAAACGAATAATGAACCCCCCATTGATTTTACGGTGTATCAGAATAAGATATTTAATACACCAAATTTTAAGCAAATTTATTATGTTGAACCTGTTAAAGATATTACTCAGGTATTAATATCAAGAAATTATTAAAATTAAAATTGATTAAGTCATTTTTTAGCTTGATATTGTGTGGGTTTTACCACCTCAATTCCATTTGTATAAATGTAAACCACAACAATACTTGTCTTGGTTGTTGGGACATGAAGGAAAAGGAAGTTTATTATCATATCTAAAGAAAAAGTAAGTTTAGTATGCTGGAAATATTCTAATTTGTGAAAATTTTATCTTTTAACACGTTCGCTACCTGGGCTAAATCTCGATTCTAGCTGGACAAAATTATTTTATGGGCTTAACAAGTTAAACTTTTTAGTTCTCAGAAATAGAATTTTGAGGTTTTTCACATATTTCTAGGAAATAAAATGAAAAAATAAAATAGATGCTAATTTATTTTCTAGTATGCTGAAGAATTATTTTTACAAAAATTTAAAATCAGAATCATTTTCCGGTTCTTCTACTGGGACTTTCTAGAACGTTCTAAGGCCTTTAATAACAGGATGCGATGATATTAAAAGCATGAGAACTAAGTCTTGTGCATGGCTCTTCATGTGGGGGTGAATTCCTTCACAGAACTTAGGCCCCAGTGGGCACTTTGTATATCCCCACAATTTACAGTTCATTCAGGGGTTAGAAAACCAGCCCAAGGTTTTAATGAACGTTGATATAGAACAGAAGATTCTTTATATCCGAAATTTGAGGCCATAGCACGCCTAAAGTGGATTCCCTTAAGTACACGAGGTTGGGACAGTTACAAACAATATGACTTACCGTCTCATCTTCCATTTCACACTCTCTGCAGAGGAATGTATTCGCTAGGTTCATGTAGAATATGTGCTTACATAACCTGCAGTGTCTGGTCAGGAAGTGGGTGAGGCGCCTCAAGTCACATTTTAATTTTTCCAGGAACTGTGTAGATCTCTTCCTGTCAGGGTAGAGCAGAGTTTTCTTTGGAAACACACCTACTGCTTCATGTCCTTACTCCTTGCTTCCTGTGTCTCCTCTGAATGTTTCTGCCCTCTTGGAAGAAGTGCATGTTTGATGGCCAACGAGTCATGTAAAAGGATTTTATGTATCCTGTACCTATGATGGATATACTAGACCAACCACAGACCAACAACCAGAATTCCATCATCTGGAGACATTTCCCTGCACACAGAAAGACAAATCCGCGATGAAGAGGTGCTGCCAGTGTAGCAGAAGTGGAGTTTACAAGAAATCAGATACAACTGCCCGTTATGCCCAGAAAACCCTGGTTTATGCGTATATCCATGCTTCAGAATCTGGAACACTGCACAATAATTATGTTTTGTAATATTTTCGGGTATCAAAGAAACTACGAATAGTACACGGGAAAAAACTGCTGCAGAACGCGCGGTAGCGAACGTGTTAATCTCTACGCCAACAAACTTTTGGTTAAATTCCGTTTAATTTGTGTTGTAGGTTATGGGGTTTAGCAGTTTATTGTGGCAATGATGATTCCGGTTCAAACAGTAATTCAATTTACTATTTATTCACAATGAACATTGTGTTAACTAAAGAAGGTTTAAATGCTATAGATAAAGTAGTTACACTTACTTTTATTAGTAACGATTTATTTAAAAAAATTTTTTAGGTCATAGAAGCGATTTATTCCTACATAAAAATGTTAGTTGTGTTAGGTCCACAAAAACGAATCTATGATGAAATAAAATTAGTTGAAGAGGTGTCATTTAAATTTAGAGAAGAAGAAGTTCCTGCTGATTACGTCGAATCGTTGGTGGAAAATATGCATTATTATCCTCCTGAGCATTATATTGCGGGTCCCGAACTTTATTTTGAATATGACCCCAAAGCGATTCAAGACACATTAACTTATTTAAATGTTAATAATATGAATGTGATGGTTTCAACGCCCGTTTTACCTGTAGGAATAGATTATGATCATTTGGAGCCATGGTTTGAAACAAACTACGCAATTCAAAATATTCCTGATGAGTGGAAATCAAGATGGGCGAATGTAGAAGTTTTTAAAGAGATGCATTTACCAGATCTAAATCAATTTTTAACCAATGATTTCTCACTTTTACCAACACTGGAACCAAAAATGGCGTTTCCACAGAAGATTATTGATGATGTGGGAATGGAAATTTGGTATAAAAAGGATGATAAATTCAATTTTCCTGTTGCTAGATATTGTTATACTTTGTTGAATCCTATTATAGTTGAAAGTCCATTAGGGTAAATTATAAATTAAAATAATAAAAAAAAGTTATTTAGATTTTTTTGTTTTTAGAGCTAGTTTAACAGATATTTTTGTAACATTACTTGGAATTCAATTAGCTGAAGAAGTTTATCCCGCAATATCGGCAGAATTAGATTATTCAATAACAGTTGGAGATACAGGGATAATGCTTCGATTTTATGGTTATAACGAAAAATTACCTGTGAGTTCACCCCAAACTTAATTTATTTATTAATTTATTTTGAACTAATTTTAGACTTTAGGTGTATTGATTGCAAAATATTTAAAAAACGTCCATGAAAACTTAACCCCGGAATTAGTGGCCGCGGTAAAAGAAAAACAACTAAAATATTACCACAACAGATTCCTAAAACCAAACAACCTCGCTAAAGATTTACGTTTAAGTGTTTTGTGTAATGGACATTGGACTTCGATTGAGAAACACACTGCTTTACTTGATGCTACCTTTGAAATGGTACAATCTTTTTCAAAGGATTTAGTTTGTTGCTTACACATTCAAGGTTTAATTCAAGGAAATGTTAGCGAAAAGGTCGCTAGAGATACAACTATGGATATTGTTAACGTTTTACAATTTAAAATGTTGCCAATAAATAATATTCGTAAAGTAAGTTGGATATGTTAGGGCCGGTTTTACAATATACCGAGAAATCTACCTGATAACTATCCGGCCGATAAACTTATCGGGAGGATAAAGATATTCGCTGTCGGTTGGTAGCACTTTTTCCCCATATCTAGTAATTTGTGCCGTAGGTTGGTAACGCTAACGTTTTTTTTTTGAAATTTGAATCATTTTGACAATAATAACAATTGTTTAACAATTCCATTATGAAAATTAAATTTTACATGTCTTTCTGACGTTATGTAGCGTCACTTTTTATAACTAGTGATGTAATGAATTCCATTACCTAACTACAAATTGATAGTCAAGTTTTGAACAAAAATTGCTTTTTCAATGGAATTAGATAACATTTTGTACTTAACACGTTATTAAACGGCTCATTTTGTTTGACGAACGTAATATTTGCCAAAACGAGCGAGCGAGTTTTCCAAATTATCGTGTTAAGTACAAAATTTTATCTAATTCATTACAGGTAATGGAATTCATTACATCACTAATAGTATATTAAAAAACTAGTTTCGTAAGACACGCTTGAAACGCACGAATTCAAGTTTAAAAACGAGTGGCAAAGCCACGAGAGTGCTTTAAGTTTTATGAAACGTTTTTAACAAAAATAAAATAAATTTTGACTATGTAGGGAAATAGGTATGTAGCAGTTGGTAACGCCGTAACACTTCAAAATAGAAATTTGAATTGACAATTAGAAATTGTCCGAACACAAAATGTATTCACCTAAAAAAATGTTTTATGTACACCTCCCGAAATAAGAGAAATTGCTCAGAGTTCTATTAAAACTCTACTTCCAGAGAAGAAAAATAAAAATAAATAAATTCCAATTCAAATTGTCACATTGACAACTAGAAAAATTAATGATGTCACAAAACTTGAACTGGTTCCATAAAATGTTACTAAAATCTCACTACAGCATCGGATGCTGTAAGGAGTCTCATTACAGCACCCGTTTGAGTACTGTAATAGCTTTCATTACCGTCGCGAATTACAAAATAGTATATTATTATATGAGCATATAATATATGATATGTGTGCATTTTTCAAAAAACCCTAATTATCTCCCAAACTATTAATGTTAGGTATAGAACATATGGGATATAAAAGATGTAGAATGAGACACCGAAGATGACTAAGTAATAAAATATGGGAGGTGCCNGATCTTAGCAACCGTCGTTATGCAACAATGACTTACTTCTACCGCGAGTAAACACGACAACAAAGTTGTCATTTAATGACGTTTGAAGAAAAAAGCTATTTGTGTTCAAAACTTGACTTATTCTATTAGTGACAGATGTCAATTTATCAATTTGTAGTTAGGTAATGGAATTCATTACATCACTAATAGTATATTAAAAAACTAGTTTCGTAAGACACGCTTGAAATGCACGAATTCAAGTTGTTTAATGAATGAGTGCTTTAAGTCTTATGAAACGTTTTTTAACAAAAATAAAATAAATTTTGACAATGTAGGGAAATAGGTATGTAGCAATTGGTAACACTTGAAAATAGAAATTTGAATTGACAAATAGAAATTGTCAGAACACAAAATGTATTCACCTGAAAAAAATGTTTTATGTACACCTCCCGAAACAAGAGAAATTGCTTAGAGTTCTATTAAAACTTTACTTCCAGAGAAGAAAAATAAAAATAAATAAATTCCAATTCAAATTGTCACATTGACAACTAGAAAAATTAATGACCCAATGTCACCAACTTGAACTGGTTCCATAAAATGTTCCTAAAATCTCATTACAGCATCGGATGCTGTAAGGAGTCTCATTACAGAACCCGTTTGAGTACTGTTATAGCTTTCATTACCGTCGCGAATTACAAAATAGTATATTATTATATGAGCATATAATAGCTAAATGGCACACTAGGCTGAATATCCATATGATATGTGTGCATTTTTCAAAAAAAAACCTCAATTATCTCCCAAACTATTAATGTTAGGTATAGAACATATGGGATATAAAAGATGTAGAATGAGACACCGAAGATGACTAAGTAATAAAATATGGGATGTGCCATTTAAAAAAATGAAGTTATGGTACTTCCAAGTTTCCAAAAGTTAACGTAAAGTGACCAAACGTTCTAGATAGCTATTCACGGCACCAAAACATACTCCATCATGTTGCTTAAGCATGTTCTGAATCCTAAATTGATATCCCAAAAATCGAGTGTTCTCTGATTTTTTGAACAAATGTCTGCTGGAGCAGATTTTTCTAGAAAAATTCGAATAACACGAGAACGCCCGAATCAAATTACATAAAGTAAAGTTATTCATAAACCTTGAAAGCAGGCAAATCCAAATATGTAAAAATATACAGGTGTTCCATTTAAAAAAAATAAAGTAGGTGGCGACTTTCGGTATAACCGGAAGTGCTAGAAATCTGAAAATATTTTAGTCGAAGAGAACGCAATTGATAATACTTATGTCTGAATTTTCAAATTTTTATTTTTGCCAGAACCTGAGAAACGTCTAATGACCGGTCTCGCTGAGATACCCTGTCATCAACAAACCAACATATCGGCCAGATAACGTTGTCGAGAAGTTTATTAGTATATTATACAACCGGTCCTTAATTATATTAAAAAAAGATAAAATGAAAACTTTCTTTTTATTCTAGATGATTGTAAATAAAATCCCAATCTCATCAGAACATGCAATTCGTACAATGTCGTTTAATCAAAACGATTCAAATTCAATAATAACGAATTATTATCAATGCGATTCTTCGGAATTAAAAGATTTTGTTTTAATCGAATTGATTTTGATGATGGCGGAAGAACGTGCTTTCGATAAATTACGCACGAAGGAACAATTAGGTTATAATGTTTACACAACCGTTCGAGATACATTTGGTATCTTAGGATTTTCAATAACTGTTAATGCTCAAGCAACTAAAAATACCACCGATTACATCGATAAACGTATCGAAGCTTTTATGGATTATATGAATAAATCAATAAAAAAAATGCCCGATAACAAAATGAATCAAGTTAAGCGAGATTTAATTAAATTAAAACGAATGGCGGATACTGAATTGGAAGAGGAGGCTGAAAGAAATTGGAGTGAGATTTGGTCGAGGGAGTATTTGTTTGATCGAGAAGAACGTGAGGCAAAAATTATTGAGGAATTAAAAAATTCGGAGATTCGTAAATTTTTTGAGGATCATACCACGGTTGGGAGTAAAAGGTTTTTGAGGAAACTTAGTGTTCAAGTTGTTGGACATAAAGAGAAAGATGATAGGGGAAGATCGAAACGTTCAACTTCTCCAGGTGATCCCACTCCGGGTGAAGAGAAAAAATTTTCTATTAATTTATTGGGACCGATTGGTAATGAAGAAACGCCTGAGGAGTATTTTATTAGGGATGTTTTAGAGTATCGACAAAGGTGTGAACCTCTTGTAGGAAAATATTAACAACCCAAATAAATTTTTAAGTTTATAATTTATTTATGTTTGTCACTTTTTTTATGGGCAAAAGACTACTTTATTAAAAAATTCCGTAAAAAGCATTGCTTATTTATTTGGACATTTCATCACCATAAAAGAGAAGAGGAGAATAAAATTGATTTTGGTAAAAAATAAAAATTATATTTAATGTAAATTATACAAAAAAAAATAATAAAAAACAACTTCTATCTATAATATATACTAATGATTGTTCTAGAAATATACTATATAATATTTATAAATTAAACATATAAAATTACAAAATAAAGTTAATAAAATTGTGCATATTCCGCTAAAAAGGGGATCTTAGTTTACGATATAAATACAACTAATAATAATAATAGCAGATTTCTCAATTTCGCAATTATTAGATTCTTTACTTAAAAATAATGGAAATACTTGACTAGGTTCTAGTCAGTTGATATATTTAAATTATGTACATTTCATAACATATCTCAGTGTACATATTTGGTAACTTTTTTATACTGAAAATTACATGCGATACGTACAGTTTCAAGTGTATACCACCATCATAAAAATATATCTAAAAAAAATCACATCACTAAGGTAAAAATGGCAAATTTACTGCAGAATAGTTACGTAAATAAAATTAATTTCTTTGCCATTTCATCACAATGAATTTAACGATCTCGTTAACTTTAAAAGATTTCACAATGTTTTTTTTAAATATAATCTATTCAACGGTGTGATGACGTTAATTAATGACAAAGAAATCAACAATATATTTAATGCACTTTTAACAAATTTTCATAATATTTAATAAGTTAAATAAAATATCGAACTTTATTTTGCTACTTTTTCGATTTAAGGCATGTAGCTGAAGGAATGTTAATCATCTTAAGTATTAATGGACATGTTTTAAGTTTATTGATTTTAAGTTAACATATCCTAAAAAATCAAATCACATGTAACTTACATAACAAAGTATCTATGAAATATACAAACTGTACATCATTCTGCTTGATTAAGTGGTACATAACACCACAAGATTCTACTTATTAAGGCCTCGTGTAAGCCACTTTTTTTTTGATTTTTAAATAACTCGCAAAAGGCACTATTTTATTTTGTCACACTTTTAAACACTAAATCATTTTTTAATTTAAAATACGTCTATTTTGATTGTTAGGAAACGTTTGTATTCTTGCAATTTAATTTAAAGATATGTAAAATTGTGTTTATTATATTCCTAACGTGTTTGAGATCCTTTTGGGCACTCTTCTATATACAATACTCAAACTGCAATGGTAAATATTAAATTGTTTTAATACTTTCATCACCATAGCAGTTTAATTAAATAGTTGTAGTACTGGTAAGGTAATATGGCCTATACAGAATAATATAAACTATAGAGTAGAGAAAAGCGTGAAAAAAAGTGAACTAATAACGTTTATTTAGTCATTATTTAGCTGTTTTTGGAAGATGCCGTTTCATATGTAACGCCAAATGATCGGATCTGGCGAATGATCTTTCACACACTGCGCATTTAAACGGTTTCGCACCTGTATGTTTTCTATAGTGACGAGTTAATTCATCTGATCTTGCGAAACGCCATTCACAGTCCGGCCACTGGCATTGGTAAGGTTTTTCTCCTAAAACAAAAATAAATATTAATTATATTTCAAATATATTTTTAGATACAGAAAATCTCCATATAACGGATCTCATTAGTGCTCATAGATAAAATCCAAATCGGGTTATTCCCCAAGCTGCTCTATTCCATGTTTATAGATAAACCCAGGGTATTCCCCGAGTTGTCTATACGATGTATAAATCAAGGATGGTAATTCTACAGTTATTTTGTGGTAATTATAGTTTTAATTGTTATTCAGTGCTAGATTGTTATATCTTTTTCATTGAATTAAAACTAGAACTAACACGAGACCTAGAATTAGAAACATTCGGCCTAGTGTTAGTTCTAGTCTCAATTGTTATTTAACGGTAGATTGTTATATATTTTTATTGAACTGAAACTAGAACTAACACTAGACCTAGAATTAGAATCATTCGGGTTTAGCCGCACGTCTCTCAAGACGGCTAAACCCGAATGATTCTAGTTCTAGGTCTAGTGTTGATTCTAGAATTGCCCTAGCACTATCACTAGAACTAACACAACACCTAGAACTAGAATCATTCGGGTTTAGCTGTCTTGAGAGACGTGCGGCTAAACCCGAATATTTCTAGTTCTATAAGTCTAGGCATCATGGTCTTGTCTAACGGAAGGCTAAAACAAAGTGGATTACTGTTCTACCCACACAATAACGCAGCTTCCCTCAATTACTAGCAGTCCAGTATCAGCAACATGGACTGTACCACATGGAAGATAAAGAAAATAGGAGAGGCTTACTTTACTCTGAATGGTAACTATTAAGAGTTTGGTCCTATTATGAAAACAAATCTTAGCATATCTTCTACTTTTTCAAAATTAAAAGCTATCTGTATATGAGATAAATAAAAGCAATTATAAAATTCCTCTTCTTCCACTTTGCGCGACTAGGGTTGACTAGTCAGCTAAGCTTTTTAAGCCTATTCTATAAGCGCAACTAAATGTAAAACAATAGCTACATTGTAATACTACATGTAAATGATAACTACATTTTTCACTTCACCATTAACATCAAAACCAATGAAATGCAAAACAAAAGTTATGAGTTAAATCAAGCTAAATAATTTTGCACACCCCAAACTGTTAAATTACAGTCGACAATTCCTTATAATAATTAATTGAAGTCGCAATATTTTCTTAATTCAAATTCACTAAATTGATGATTTTCTTACCTGTGTGGATCCTTTGATGAGCTTTTAAGTGTGAACTTTTGGTGTATACTTTTGTGCAGCCTGCAATAAAATATTGTTTGTTAAAATATGTTTTTTTGGAGGAAATTTTAATGTTTACCTATAAAATCACAATGGTGTATCCTTCGCTTTTCCAGTTCGGGATTGTTTCTCCTATTATATTTAGCGACTGAGGCGGCTGTGATTCGCGCTGCGGCGGGGGGCGTCGCGACGACTGCAGAAGGGGTGGCGGCGGCGGCCGTCGGTGCGGGGTAAGGTGGGGGAGGCGTTCGGCGGGGCAACGTCCCTCCGGGCGAACCCGGATCCGAGCTGGGCGGCGTCAACGGCGACCCATACATTAACCGCGTCATCGGCGCGTAGAGGGCACTCGCTGCCGTCGGCCCGCCACCAACGACGACGCCACCGCCTCCACCGCCACCATTCTGTTGATTATATTTAAACTGTTGCGGGTGGGCGTTTCCTTGCGCATGCTGCTGATGATGGTGATGGGTATGAAGCGGTGCTTGTTGTTGGTAATGTTGTTGTTGTTGTTGTTGTTGGGGCGGTGATGTAGGTTGATTATAAGGTGATGTTGGAGTTCCCAATAGATGAAGGGTAGGTTGTGATGGTTGTTGTAGCACCTAAATAAATTTTTGTCAATAAAATTTATTTTAAGAATTACTTTAGTTATCTTAATATTAAATATTAACTTAATTATCTTATTAACTTAAATATATACGTACAAACCTTTTCCGTTTTAATTTCTAATGGCGATAAGAGTGGAGTTGGTGCATTCATGGCAAGATCATCAACAGCCTCTAATTTAACTTGACCTGGTCCGACGATGCCCAGCATGTTGGCGTTTTCAGGGTCTATGTTTTGGATGCTGCTCGTGATGTCATCCCATAATGGTGGCCTTAGGAAGACATCATCGTCGGTACCGGGCAGCGTCCTCATCGACACATACGACATCATCGTCGTTGTTTGATGTCGTGATTGGGGATCGAAAAATTCATCGATTTGGGATGCGGAATCCCTCCGAGGTTTTTCCAATTCCTCTTCGAACCGCCGTTCCCACTCCTGTTTGCACAGGAACGTGTCCAAGTCGCTTGCCTGAAAATATTACGGTCATTTGTATATGCAAATTTTACCAGGTATATAAATTTGCGGATATATTTGGCAATAAGTAAGATTCAATGTAATGTACTAATAAAATATGTACGTATCTATCTTAAGTGGTACCAATACTTTGTTCGAAATATGCAAAGATGCGGTGGAGAAACATCTTTTGCATAACTATGCGATTAGCTTGAAAAACGGCAACATATAAGTCCTTTTTATTTCTCCATTAGAGCCGAGTGTTGGGTATGAGATCCAACTTTCAAGGAAATGATGATGGTCAGCGGTAGTCGAACGTTGTCTTTAATGGTCTTACTTTATACTTATTAGATTTCAATATTCATGTTGGTAACGACGGAGAATACATTGCGTAGATACTAAAATACGAGATATAAATTCTAGAAAAAATTTTAAAGCGACTTTCACTATCAACGCAGTAAATTATTTCTTACGCACACCTTATTACAACTTTCTTATGCTAACTCTTCGTTTAAAGTAATTTTAGATCTAAAATAATTGCTTATATTGTTGTTGTTGTTTCTTTACAAAACAGTTCCATTCATAGCGATCGGAAGGAATGGTTGTGTCATTTTGCGCGAATGCCTTTCAGGCGTAACTTTTCTTCTCATCTATCAATCGCGGGACAGGTGAGAACACGCGCAATCGCAGCGTGTGGCCGGATTCGACTTTCCCTTGTTCCAATTAACATACAATAAGCCGGGAGGTGCTGCCCTCCTGCGGTGTTACTTCGCGTCCAAACTGAAGAGCGTCCGCGGTGCGATGACGTGTGCAATTTGAGCGAAAAAAAAGGGGAGTTACGTTGGATGGGTTTCGATGGGGAGAGAACGCGAACCTGATTTGTCACGGTTTGTAAGTGATTGAGTATAATGGAACGATTACGTCCGGCTATTGAAGATAGCGTTCATATAAATTCACCCTTTTTTTGTGAGGTTAAATGGTGAGTGAGTATACACAATCCTAATGGTTTTATAATGGTAAATTATATGTTGTCAATTGGATTGTTGTATTGTGGTAAATGTTCTTACGGAATATTTAGTTTAGTACTAAATCAAAGAATTTTTTCAGTTTTTAGTATAGGTATTGCAAACCAAAAAGCGTGACATGTCCATACAGAATATCAATTACAAGTTTCCCACATACCACATACGGTAAACCGCGAAAACTTAATGGTGTGTTAAAGTGTCATAACCGCAAAAATTGCAAGTTTCAATTTCGACAGAAGTGTGGCTGCTATGAAAGAGTGTTTAAATCCGATGATAATATTACGACATGAACCGAGACAAATGTATGTAATAAGAAAGCGTGGTCGATCGTATAATTCTAGGTATCCCATAACACGTGTTCAATAGCGGAGTGTGTGCAGTTGTAATCTTGCAATCTGGACTGAGTCAGATGAAATAAATAATAAAGGTGATTGTGAGGCGATTCTTGGTGAGTGCGTCTGCGAAATTCCGGTTGACCGGGTTTTGCTGGGACAGAACGGAGTTAATAATATCTATGTGTGACATCGGCCGAGCAATGGTTCACGTGATAGGAAAATGAAAATGGAACTAATTCCGATTATTTATTGGCCATTAGAGTCTGCCGATATTTACTGCCTGGTGGTCCCTCGCGCCGAGTTCACATCAACGTTGCTTCGGGCGAAACCATGACATCTACTCAAGAGCGCGTCTCTCCCAGTTTCTTTCTACGATCCGTTTTCTTTCGCCTCCGGGCAACGTCTCTCGTTCTTAAGTAGATTAACATAAACGTCAAACGGCTTTAGCTCCGTACAGTATTTTGAAATAATTACTTCCTCCGATTGGTTTATGCCGGCGATTTCTTATGTTAGCATCTTGAGAACAAAATCTAGTACTTGGTTATGATAAATGGTCAAAATTTAAATCATATAACTTGTTAATTGAAAAGTTTCTTATTAATTATTTTATGTTAAATAACATTTCAGCTTATATTATAACTGATGATTTATAACATTTTTTTTTAATACAATTTCAAAATTCATAACTGATTTTGGAAAGGACAAAATTATTCCTATCTAATACTGTATTGATATAGGAAACCACATACTGTTTGTAGAGAACTAGATATTGTTAATAAAAGACAAAATACTGCCAATGAAAGAGTAGATATTACTGTAAAAGGCTAAATACTGCTAATAGGAGATTACATCCTGTTCGAAAAAGTAAGATATTTTTAATAGAAACTAATACTGTTAATAGAAACATATATGGTGCTTGAAGAAGACTAAATACTGTTAATGGAAAACAAAATACTTTGAAGACATGACTAAATACTTCTAATTGAACATTAGATGCTGGGCTAGATACGACTGATAAAAGAGTAGATACGGCTTATACACAAATTTATACTGTTTACAGTACTAGATACTGCCAGTGAAAGATTTGATACTGCTAATAAAAGACTATATACTGGCAGAAGATTAGATACTACTGGAAAGAGATTAGATCGTACTGACAAAAGCTAGATATAGCTAGTAAGAAACTAGATACTGCTAATACAAGATTAGATACTGCTGGCAAGAGACCAGATACTCTCAATTATAGATCAGATAATAATAATAATGATTTTATTGAATACGCATCAAAATGTACAATATTCTCGTCTAATAAAAGTTGTAATAATGATGATAATAAAGAAAACAGGTATTAGTTTATCTCCATAGCTGTAAAATATTTATCTATAGAGTAGAAATCCCTATTTAAGAGCATATTCTTGACCTGTCTCTTAAAACTCTTCATTGTATAACTTTATAGATATATAGTTAAAATTTTTTTGTCAGGTTGTCTGGTCCCTGTTTTGTGTATATAGTCTAGACGCGTAAGTATATATGAAGATCGGTATTTTTAGAGTTTTAAAATGACCTCTACAACTCTGATGTTGTTTTAGACCTACTAGCGTTCTTATCGCTTTCTTTTGTTGTTTGAAAACTTTTTTTAGGTCACTGGAAGCACCCCATATTGCTATGTAATACACCGCCATGCTGTGGAAGTATGCGAAATACACATTTCGTGATTCAGTCGATGGTAAGTTTTTTACCATTACTTTTAAACAATATATTGAAGTTGCTAATTTCTTTTTAAGCTGCGATGTATATCCGACCAACTCAAAGTTTCTGTAAACACCACGCCAAGAAATTTAGTCGATTGATTTGTAACATGATCATTGGTTTTCGTATAAAATGTGAGGAACTAGGGTTTAGTTTTATGATACTACTAATAGAAGACTACATACTGATTGCAGAAGACAAACTATCCATTCGCACATATCTCCTGGTGTTTTTCCAAAAAATTTATTATAAACTACTTTGTTGTCAGACATGCTACGGATCCGACCCGGTACTATTGATGTTGAGGATTTTAATATCGAAGAAAGCACAATCCAAGATACCTTATTTATTGATAATCTAAACTCTCTACTTATCAAAGTATACGGAACTGTTACTGATGAATATTTGTCTTGTAGAATTGTCTTACATTTCTATCTAAAGTCACTCACATTCTAATTACACCCAACTGCGTGTTGCAATTTTATCATCCTTAAGCCGCCTTTTATAAAGCATCTTAATCACCGTGCACATTCGCATCGGGAAAGTACCGTAGTACGTGGCGGCATCGTCGGTACTTTATTAAATTATTTACATGCTTTTGCCCCCTTAAGAGAGAACAGGTTGCCGCCTGCTAGGGAGCCGCAGCACGTCGGTGACGTTCAAATACATATAATTATCAGCTGCAATTAGACGATTTCCAACCTTGTTAGAGCAAACGACGTTGTGATTTAAATGTGTCGCGGTCTTCAAGAAGGTAATGGAACGCTAATAACCGCGGTAACTTCCTTTAGTCCGTGATTTATCTTTATATGTGCAAGCGGAATTTTTTGAAATGATTAAAGATCTTTATAGAAATCATTCATAACCCTCAAAATAATTGATTGACAAGTGATGGGGCAAATGTGAGTCGGTTCGCATATCAAAAAACATGAATTTTAAACGATCGCCATGGAATCCAACATCGTGCCCTGAATTAAACATGTCGCGATGCGAACGCGGACTTACTAAGTTCATACGCGGACTCTGTTGAAGTTGAAGTGCGTCGATATGGACGAGGTTGGAGTCACTGAACGATTGCCGATTTATTATTCCAGGAGAGAGCTCGGTTTATCTTCGCCCGTTTGTTTTTTTCTCTTCTCTTCTTTTCTTTCTTTCTTTTCATTGCGCGGCATTCCGCCACGCATCAAATCTGTATTCAGTAATAATCGCAAATAGGTACATATATACAACCGATACGATGAACAATACAAAACCACATGGTTTACTTTGGAATAATAAATACATAAATATAAAATCACGAAATACAATACACCATTCAACATCTTCCAATTAATTAAAACTTTCACTTGTACCCGAAAAGAAAATTAGAAACGACTCGTGCGGATAACCCAACAACGACGATGACTCGAATGCGGGGCCGTCATCCCGTTTTGAGACATTTTAATTAACGAACCTGAAAGCGTATTCGCCGCCGTCGTCGGTCGTGAGCCATATTCACATGTCCCGGCGTTCATTAAATGAACGACGCCGTAATGAGGGGAGAAAAAGGATCTTCGTGAAGAAACGTTCTCTTCCCGTTCTTCGTTTCGTTCCTTTCGGTCCAATTCTCTCGATCCGCCTCCGACTATTTACAACCAACTTTGAGAGTCGTGCTCGAGCGGTCGCCGCGCCGTGGCCATGAATGGCTCTCAATGAATGAAACGTGTTTACTTCGAGATGAGATAACTGGAGATGAACAGGAAATAAACCGAGTGGAATCCCGCCGAACGAGTTCAGATATATTAATTTACTCACGCGTGTATTCTTATAACGAATCTTATTTTATCATCAAAGATATTATTTTGTTATAAAATTGTTTTGAAAATATGAATAGAATTAATATTTTGGTGAGGATTCAAATTATAAT